GGGAAATGAAAGCACCGCGAGCTTCCTCTTCTCGACGGTCCTTCGACTTTATTCGCGAGGCAACGATACTTTACGCAAATATCCAGTATTCTGTATACAATCCATAATTAAGCTAATCATCCGTCGACGAAACATATCGCTCGCGAACAGCCACTTCGGCGTAAACTGCACGTTATGCGCGTTCTCGCGTATCTCAATCACTATGACAAGCAAATATATATAAAAAAAAAACATTCTTTTTGAAACAGAAATTGAAATAAAAAAAGACATTTTTTGCGAGGTTGCTATTATATGCTTGAAAAATACATATGATATAAAGGCACAAAATAAAAAAAGTATGCAGAATTATTCTTATTGTTAGTACAAAGTAATCGGAGCATGATCCTGGAGACGTCCCATGTCCGTGATATCGTCATCGTGGACGGGGCCTGGGGCCCACAGAAAAAATAATAAAAATAATATGTATGTGCGTATGCATATGTATGTGCGATTGCGTATGCGTGTGCGTGTGTATGTATATCTATGTTGAATTGCATTACTAGTTTTATGTAATATTATTTACTTTCGACAGTAACAATAAAAAAAATAATATAATATATTTCATTTATATATGTATTTTTTCGTTTATATTTCCCAACATTTTATCAACGAAATAATAAATAGAGTTTCTTGTCCTAAATAACATTACCGTTTTTTTTTTCAAATATACCCTAGAATCCTAACACCACACTTCTAAAAAATCCTGATTTTACCATACTAAGTGCACGCTACCCAGTGTACTAAGAGAGAGAGGGACAGGGATGGAGAGAGAAAGAGAGAGAGAGAGAGAGAGAGAGAGAGAGAGAGAGAGAGAGAGAGAGAAAGAGGAATAAATGGGTGCATGCAAATTACATACATAGGAGAGAAAGGAATAATACGAGAGATATCTGTCCTTGTCTAACGAGGCATCTATACGACATATATCTGTCAAAGTTCGTTCTTTGAAATGGCTTTATAGATCGCAAAATTTTTTTACAGAAGTAAAGTATAGGTACTAATGAAGAGTTGTTCTTTCCATGTGCTCCCTAAGTTACATAACAGTTACAAACTGGTTTACTGGGATTATGTTATAATAATTAAGATTTTTATTCAGTTTTGTTATCTATACTGTTCATCAGCTGCCGCTACCCTCTACTCTGATGCTAAGACTGAGGTATATTTTTCTATATAAAGACAGAATAAAATTAGTTATATATAAATCAATACTATAAATTTAATATTTATTGCATTTGTTATAAAAGTTATTATTTTACCCCATCAAGAATGGATAGATCCTTTGAAAGAGTTTTACATAATTCATTTACATTACAAGAAAAAAATTATTAGAGGTGCAAGAGATGCAGTAAATTGCCAAGTCTAATAAGTACCCGCGTCAATACATACTATGTATACTAATTCACATTCTCAATTATGCTACTGTTATTATTTGTCATCAGACAATTATAAACATACACATAATAATTAGATACATATTATATATATATATATACGCACATGTGTGCATAAGAATATATATAATTTATAAAAAGCGGGTGCTTATCAGCCTTGATACGTTACTGCCTTCTGCTACAGACGGCCAGAAAGCATTTTCAGGTTCAGGCCGTATTGCTAAAGAATCCAAGACGCGGCAACGCCGCGCGGCGTTGCCGCGTCTATAGCATATGTCTCTCTACCGTGCGTCCGTGTGAGCAATTTAGTGGTGTGTGTACGTGTACGGACATACACCACTTCATAGAATCTGAAATAAGTTGGTAACACTGAAACCGGAGTTTCGCGTTGTCACCACGCGAGGTCTCCAATATCAGTTCGGCCTTTGCTTTAGTTGACAGAGTTGACATTACCGACGTCGAGGAAGTTCGGCCTTAGCTTTAGCATCCCCTTAAAGATTAATTTAGATCTAACTCTAATGGCTCCTGCACACAGGACGCGGCAGCGCGGCATTGCGGCATTGCGGCAACGCGGCACTGCGGTAACCAATTACCGTCTTGCCTTTCCGTTCTACTTTTGAAAGTAGTACGGAAAGGCAGATGGTGATTGGTTACCGCGGTGCCGCGTTGCCGCAATGCCGCGCTGCCGCGTCCTGTGTGCAGGAACCATAAGCGAGCCCGCAGAACAACAAATCGGCGGCGCGATACGCGGCGCTTAAAGTTTAAATTAAATCTAACTCTAAGCGAGCCCGCAGAACAAAAAATCGGCGCCGCGATACGCGGCGCTTAAAGTTTAAATTAAATCTAACTCTAAGCGAGCCTGCAGAACAACAAATCGGCGCCACGATACGTGGCTTAAAATTTAAATTAAATATAACTCTCGCGAGCCTGCAGAAGAACTTTAAATACACATTGAAAAGCCGTAAGCATGGATAATACACGGTAGTAAAACAAAGCTAATGTCGCGCGCAAATGTCGACAATACTAACGCGCTCAAGTCGAAAGGAACATTTCTGAATTGTTTAATCATTTCATACGTCGAGCTCTACTTACGTGCGTGTAGCTGACTGCTATGGCTAAAAAGCTATAGAATGAAACGTATGTAAAAAATAAAACAAAAGGTTTCTCTTTGATCTTTAGATAATTTTATACTTTGAAAGTAGTGATATCTCTATTTATAGAGTATCTTTTATTTTTAAATTTGTCTTTGAAAAGGTTCCAAAAGTTATATTAATCCAAACATCAACATTTTTGTCCTGTAATCAAGATTTTATTATTTTAACTTTTAACTTTTCCATTTAGTTATGTATCTGTTCCAACAGTGCAACGTAATCAACGCCGGCATTCATTGTTCTACTTGTATTTCATTTTTATAGAGCCAAGTCTCTGTAATATATTTAATGCTTATATAACTTTTATCTACAATATTATTATATATATTATATATATCTCTTTATATAGCAATGCGTTTTAATGCGAGTTAAAGAGAATGTAAAACAACGTGCGTGTTATAGGACCATTCTAGGATACGCGATAATCCTTGAAGTAATAATCGTAAACGCGCTTATCAAGACTTCGATAGCGAGGAAGCACAGTCGAGTTTAAACGTCCCTGGATTCATAGTTATCTGATGTTCATTATGACGTCCGAGTCTTTTATTTGATCATTGGATACGCGAGCAGATAATCGGTGGGTTATCGGCTACTGCCTACTTTTATAGCGATCACAATGGACAGCCGATATAATCCACGCATGGTCGGAGACAAACGTTAGTTCGCCTACGCGATATGCGCGCATTGCACGATTTCGGTTGTCCCCGAAGAGATCTCCGGCGCGAATTTCGTAAATAATACGAAATATCAATATATAGGATGCGATACGTGTGTTCCTCTTCCCAAGAGTGACGATATATTCTCACTGATATCTTCAACAAAACAGTTACCAAAGTTCAGAGGTCAGTACAACTTTTCATTACCATAGCGATTACAAAGCGTCTCTTCTTCTTCTTCTTCTTCTTCTTCTTCGAGAGAGAGAGAGAGAGAGAGAGAGAGAGAGAGAGAGAAGATCAGAAAAATACCCATACACGCACATACATACATACATACAAACACACGCAGTTTATTTACATGTTCTTTTTGCACAGATCACGAATAATTCGTAAAAATTTACACGCGCAAGTAGTATAGCTTTCAGACGCAACTAACTCGTAAATTTAGGACATTCTGCACATAAAAAAATATCATTCTACAGCCAAGAAAAGCACGTACTTATCTTTATTTATTAATAAATAAATTTTTATTTATCATTCACAAAAAGAACCGCGTTGACTATCAATGTCCAGTGGGCCTATTCTGTAACTCTTAAGGCCGGTTTTCACACGCAATGATTAGTGGCGCCAACTGACTGGCATTCATTGGCGCCAGAACCGACTAGCAAACTTACAAGTATTTACACAGTGATTGGCGTATACTATGGAAAATATTTAACATTTATTAAACACACAGTAAATGACAACAACCATATAACCTCAAATTTTGAGGTTATATGCTTTGGCCAATAACCGCCAGTAAACGCCACATTACTAGCGCCAGTTTGCATCAAGTGTTTACACTTGCATTTTTACTGGCATTAGTCGACTGGCGCGGCCTGGCGCCACCAATCATTGCGTGTGAAAACCGGCCTTTAACGACAGTTTCGTTATCGTTATACTTGTGTGTTGCGCAGATATTATATATAGTAAAAAAGCTGCGCAACGACAAACAATAACGACAATGAAACTGTCAAGAGTTCCAGAATAGGCCTACAGATTTAATCTTTATTGTTTATTATCTCTCGAGTCCTAGTTTATTAATTTTTATTTTATTTGTTTCAAGTAATAGTTTTCTTCAACAAAGGATATTTTCTTAATAACTTGTAAGATGTACTTGGGGCACAAGTCTTGGAAAAGCTCATCATTTGTGCTCAAGACAAGAATTTATTCTTCTTTCAAAAATATTATATACTTTAAGTACATGTTTCTCTTCCGTAGACTGTACATATATGTAAGTAATGTAAACCAAATTCTTGCGTATTAATTAAATATTTTTGTTTCAAGTACTAGACTTACTAAAGATCTAGATTATCTAGAATATGTTTTGAATAAATGTGATGCTTGTCATGATTTTATGGTAAATTTGCGGATATTATATAAACTTATCAAATACTTGAAACAAGTAATATTTGCTTCCTGGGAGTATGTACTTTTCTGTACTTTTCTGTGCGTGTGTGTGTGTGTGTGTGTGTGTGTGTGTGTGTGTGTGTGTGTGTGAGAGAGAGAATTGGAGAATGTATTAAACGATAATATGTTAAAATACGCGCCACTTCCGTTCCTATTGTATTATTATTATTGTGTAGATTATTCGAATGAGTCTACTGATAAGATAGCAACACGCATGGCGTAATGTTCTTCAGACTCTTCTAGTTCGCCTGACTGCGGAGTCGGGAAAGATCCAGCGCAGAACTATCAAACGTAACTATCTATATCGATCGACGCGTAATCGTCTCCCGATGATTTTGTCGCGCTTTTACGTTTACAATAGATTTCACATTGATCGTCCGAAATAACATCGATTGTGGGAGCGGGAATTTCGTTGTTCAAAGCCTATTACTGCGCCCGGATGTTCGCAACTAACGCTTTGACGGTTCCCCTCTCAGATCTAACACATCAGAGACTTGCGACAAGTACACGTTTGACAGGCTACGAATTGCACTCGTTCATGTCGCTGTGCGTGCCTGTGTCGTCACGACTATGCGCACTCGCTATACTGCACACTCAATTTAGATCAGTCTCAAAACAGGCCGCCCGCGCCGGTACGTTCCTCATTTTTCGTTCTCGCAGTCGGATACGAATTTTCTAACTGAATGTTATAAATTAAAAACGCTGAATCTGCAATTAAGAATTAGTATATTAGCGTTTTACAATGCAATATGCCTTTTTACAAAGTTATGTTAGTTGCATGTAGACAATATCGCAGTCTTAAACACCAATTCCTGTATGTAAAAGGATGTAAAAGGATCCTGTATGTAAATCTTTCAAAGTGCATTGAGATTATATGATTTTTGCTCGTTTGCGCTGCACGTTTGCGATATGCACGTTGCTCGTATTCTCATTTTCGACTTTACTTAATTTGCAGCAGTCAAACGTAGTTATATTTCAATGACGACGAAATTGATCGTTTGACTTTGTTTTTATACGAAAAACGATCCATCCGCAGTGTCTCTTGTCACCGAAATCTCCCGATTCGCGTTTGCTGCACGCCGCGATGTAAGTATGTAACGACAACGATTAAACGGATGCACGCACAGTTAACTATAAATTGTCTTGCCGAAGGTCGGCGCCGCGCGGAAACGATCTTGCGTCGTCTTCTTCATCACGTTAACGTCCGACGTGGGCGAGAGTCCTCTCGTCAAAAGTCTTCTCGGACGAGGTAGAGTAACTGCAGACGCCGCGAGATCGAATAGCGAACTTTTTAAAGGCAACACGAAACGATTCATTGGCTTAACAAACGTCTCCCGATAAGCGACCGCGGTCAAACAACAGCATTATAGTGCAGGTACACGGATTTCAGATCTAAGATAAAAATTGAGATCAAGATCGATCAACGCACGCGCACATCATGAAATGCAGATTATCTGACAAAGTGACAGTAAGTAATAATAATATGTCACGTCCTCCGTGTAAGGGACGAAGAACTGGCGATGGACGTACGAACTGACGGACGGAGGACGACCCGACTCATCGGGTTCAATAGCTAAGATAATCGCGAAACGTCTAACCGCTCCGTGCTCTAATATCGTTTTGTCCGCACGGCGACTGTCTGCGTTCAGTCAGGCGTCCACTTTTTATCAATCTACCCGAGTATCTTTCATTATACTCGAAAAATGTTGCTTAATCAGTAAAGAACACGATATTGATCACTCATAAACAGTGTTTTTCCTCTTCGCCACCGTACAGTGCAGTGAAACTTTACATCAAAGTGATCTTGAATTCCCGCGGGGCGTTGTCCGTAAGAATTATAAAAAAAAGTACGTTTTTGGATAACTCTTTGCTATAGGTACATACATTTATTTTTAATTTTAGAAAAAAATGCTTTTTTCTTAAATTAAAAATAAAGAAGTTTTTGGGGGTGGTAAAATTAAAATGACTCACCCTATATATAGGCTATCGAGACTATCTCACGTTCGACGGTCAAACTGTTTCAATACACTTTTTGGATAGAAATAAAAGAACAAGCTTATACATATAAATGTAGACCTATAAATGTCTCATTCAAAACTTGTAACAAAAATATATATGTTTAAAATGAGAGAGATTTACAATGGATTTATTTGTTAAAGAATCAAAATTTTGCTGCTAAATATAATAGATGTGTAATATGTATTACCTTGAGTGATAATGCGCGTATATGCAAAGATACAATATAATACCTACACACACACACACACACACACACACACACACACACACACACACGTGTGCGTGTGTGTGTGTGTATTTTATATACATATAAAGTGTCTTTTAAAGATTGCCCACTAATTACACAACACAATTCCTTATTAAAAATTTTGGGTAAAAAAATCCAATTTTTTTTCTATAATGCATAATAAAGCAGTAATTAAAGAGTAAAATCAATCCAATCAGCGCCATTCTTTAGTCGAACATACGTCAATGAGTCGCGCGTGCCTGGTAGTGTGCCTTCAATAACAGAAATACATTTTTCTTGCATTAAGAATTATTTTCCTCTTGTCAAAAGCACTTGCAATAAATTTTGACAATGGATGAAACTCTTGCCAAGACGTAACCATTATCAACATATAGAGATTTAGATAAAAAAATTAACACTGTTTTATAACAATTATTTTCTAAACACGTCGTTTCTTTAGAAATCTTTGCGTTAACCTTTAAATATTAAAACAAATCACTTTTAGAATCTTTCTACAAATGGTTTCGTTCATCAGTTACTCTGAAATAATAAATTTTTTAAGAGAAATTTATTACAACTATTGGATATTTAATCAACTTTATGCTTAAAAGAAAATACATAAAGCGTGTTTAAAAAATAGAGAAAGACAGCCTTTTTTTATAAGAGAAATTTATTTTTTTTTTTATAATATTTGAATAGATTTTTCTATTTAATATGTATATTACAGATTATTGAAAAGCAGGAAAGAAATGTTTTATTTATTTTTGCGAATGTCAGATTTATATACAAATTATTCTACTAAATATAATTGGAAAATCTTTTATAAGTAGTTATTTTTTGTTTATCCTGATGTAAAAATATATAATTAATATTTATATTTATAGAACTTTAGAAGTAAATAATGGAACGATATAATAAAAAATTAAATAAAAATATAGAATTGTTATATTAAATAAAAAATGGGAAAAAGTTTATTTATAAAAAACAGTCTTTGTTCGCGTTGATCCATGGTTCACTTTGTTTGTGATTGATTGAAATTGATTGCTAACGTCTAGATCGATAACACGTCCAACGTGGAGATTATCTTTATTGATCGCACGATATGTTCAACACATTTATTTTTATCTCTTTAAATAATATATGAAAGTTTTATTAAAAATTTAATGAAAAAATTCAAGTTTAGTAAAAAGTTTAATTAAAAGCCAATAAATTTTGTATGGCGCGTCTGAAAAATATCTCGTAAACAGTAATCTCCCTTCACTGAGCTCATTTCCTTATCTATACGTCATTCTTAAAGAAGCATTATAGCTATTTATCTTAATTCCTCAACCAAAAGCAAACGTTTGAATTGAACACGTTCAATTCAATTCAATTTTCTTTCGCATTTAAATTGGCCTTTACAAACGCGAAACAAACTGTCACTCAAAGTAAATATTCCATGTACTAAAGTCTAAATTAATCATATACTTGACAAAAAGTAAACTTTTTACAAGCTGAAAAGCGATCGCGTTCTCCATTCACATACAATTATATCATTAAGTCGACGGACATGGAAAATTTTCAAAAAAAAAAGTAAAATCAATCTGTGGTAAATCCACCAAGTTTTACAACGACGATCGAAGATGTCTCTTATACAAACTGTCGTAGATAAATTTATGTGAAATCAAATGCGCGTGCAGATAGTATAAAGCGATTAGTTAAGATAATATTATGTGACAGTGGAGTAACAGTGTGTGATCGCCCATGTACGCGATATCGCTGTGCAGAGATGAGTAGAAACATTCACGTGACTTTGCGAGCAGGGTCATATGGCTGTGAAAGAGTGGTTCAGGAGACTACAGCCGGTGCAACTGTACCTGGTGCTGTTCTTCACTACGGCTTTCTTCTTGGTCGAGATCGTCGCCAGTCACATAACACACTCGCTGACTCTGCTCCTCAACGCTTACCACATGCTCTGCAACATTGTGGCACTTGTCGGCTGCATCGCTTCGATCAAGACTTCGATCAAGGTAAGCGCGAAAAATCCGCGAAAGCCACATATTCATCAGAGTTTCACTTGCGCAAAGTGACACAAATCCACGCGCCCGATGACATATATAATCTTTCGATCCACGCAGTGTTTATATCGCGTAGCGACGTTAAATGTGTACTTGTTGCAATGTAATACATTTCCTTCACAAATGTATGTAATATTACGAAAAAGAACCTTTTCTCTTTGCTAGATAAACAAATTTGATTTTAAGCATCTTAAATAATAACTATCCTTAAAAATCCTTCGCTATTAACGGCCATTATAACCATTATGTCCTGCGCAGACCTATCTCTGTGATGTACAAAAGTGTACGGGCACTCTAACGTAACCGATAAATATAAATAAAATTGTAGTAATAAATGGCACATACGTATAAATATGCAATGTTAAAAAGAACTCTGGCTCAAATGTTTGAACCTTCTCGCATATTGTTGTCAACCTTTTTTCATCTGTTTAGAATTTAGAATACGTCGAATAGAAAAATCAATAACGTGTATGATTGTATAAGATAACAAACTTTGGCTCTATTTCCGCGGTAAAGCATACTCGCGCAGTTCGGTGTCCATACCTATGATGACCTATTCTGTAACAAAAGAGTTGAATACAAAAATACACATACCAAAGTACTGCTACGTACATCTATTTGCGTATACATGTACATACTTGCGCGTCAGCATGCAAAACAGATACAAACCTCGAACGAAATCTTACCTTATTGATATATTATTATTATTATTATTATTATTATTAATTCCTTAAACTTTCAAGTGGAGAATAGAGCCTCATCTCGAACGAAGGGAGACAACCCAAGTCGAGTTCCTTGGAGAATTTAGTATTTTATATTGATATTTGATATAAGAAAGTTTGCATCAAGACTCGCATATTGGACCCGTTTCGCTTCAATAATTCTAACCATGTTCTTCATGATGCAAATTTGTAAATTACTCGTAAATTACGTGTTGCTCACAGTATAGCTATCGGGAAAGATACAACAGTACGTGCAGTTCACTAGGAAATTCGACCATCTGCATTAACGGCGAAGAACAGGATTCTATCACGTCCTTATCAACAAAGACGAAGGTATATACGGTTTAACGATGTTGAAAAATAGAGATTAAAAGATTAAAATAGAAAACAGATATTTTTTCATTCTTTTTAATTTTAATAAAAGCCTTTTCTATAAAACTATTTTCGTGAAAGAGTTTTATCAAAGAAAATTATATAGTTTGTTTATTAAAAATAAATACCCTTATTTTTATTATGTAAAATATTTTTTTGAATCCCAAAAGTGTAATTAAATTTAAAATATTTATATTTAAATAAAACTAGTGATTTTCTTTTATATAATTTTACAATATAAATCTCAAATGATTTTCAAGAGAACTTGAAAACAATCGAGACAAAGAAAAGAACGTATCATTTTCAATGGAATATTTATAAGACTATTAAAATAAAAATTCGTTTACACAAATAGAACTGCTATAAATACTCTTTAAAAAAAATTTTTTATTTGAAAAGATGAGTGTGTGTGCGTGCGTGCGTGTGTATGCGTGTGGATAGTTACTCATTAAAAGTTCTGCCAATAACCGACCGGCACAAATGTAAAAACTTTGCTTTACCATCAGGAATCATGGTCAGACAGAAGAATGAAAAACACATTTGGATGGGCCCGAATCGACATCGTTACGATGCTCGTCTGCTGCGTCTTTCTCGCCTCTTTTTGTTTCTCTTTGCTGATGGAAGCACTGCAGACATTGGTGCACATCGATCACCTGGATGAAATGCACCACCCATTGCCAGTGTTGTGCATCGGCGTTTCAGGAATACTTTTGAATGCCTTTTGCTATATCCTCATTGGAGGATTCACGTTCAATCAGGGCATTTTCTTGCACGTCACGAAGAGTGGCGACGTAATATTATGCAGGTGGTTTTTTTTATATAACAATAACTCGACGTACAAGAAGCTGGTGAAAAAATATACAATACGTTGGAATATTTAAATATTGTACTTGAAAAAGTTTGTGTTAATTACCTTAATATTACTTGCTCGTACAAGATAATAGATCGACTTACATAAAGTCAGTTTTTTAATTCTTGAAACGTGTATATATATAATAGTAGAGATATAATACTTGTTTGCACAAATAATAAGAATTTTCAAGTTTTCGAGATAATTCATCAGAGATGAAAAATGGTTTGTTGAAATTTTATAAAAGTCGGTTTCACGCATATAAATTTTATTTACCGTAACGTGACACTTGACATTTCGCAGAAATGTGAGTTCGCAAGAAACGAAGGATGGTGAGCAACAACTGTCTGCGCAGACAAGACGAAGTCCATTGGCGATACCAAAAAGCGAAGGTTTAAGAGAAATGTGTCGAGACGTTCTCGGGTGCGTTTTCGTCATATTAGTGTCAATTTTAGTCTACTTCACCGATTCCGATGTGGCCAAATACATTGACCCGGTCTTCGCTATTATTTCGTCAATTTCTCTATTCGTCCTTTGCTATCCGTACAGTGAGTATATTACTATATTTGATAAATATACAATGAAAGAGAAAAGAAAACATAAGCAGCATAAATAGTATAGATCGATAATGATACAAAGTGTCAACTATTCGTAAGATAATAATTTGAAGTGTTAATTTATTAGATATCTCTTATTTCATGAATAAAAATAATTTAATTCTTGAAAATACCTTGAGCCGTTTATTTTATCTGATTACTTTTATTTTATTACCCTTGTTTTTTTTTTTTGTTTTTTTTACAGTGAAAGAATCAGGCCTGATATTGTTGCAAACAATTCCGAATCACATCAATATTGATTGTCTCAAAAGAGAACTGTTGGAAGCTTTTCCGGGTATCGTAAGCGTCCATGATTTACACGTATGGCAGTTGGCAAAACATCAAGCTATCTGCACGGTCCATATTGTTTTTCTGAATCCAACGGTACATAAAAACAACTTTTTCTTTTTAATATAATTTAATTTATTTCAAACAATTTACACACTTGATAGAAATACATTTAACAATTTTTTGAAAAAGAAAAATTAGCTTTATTCGATATTTTCATTCGATATTAAAAATATAAATTTTTTCAATTTTTTAATTTTAGGTTTATGCTAGTATCACGGATCAAGTTACTGCCTTTTTCATCGAAATGGGCATCACGCAGGTCACTATACAGCCAGAGTTCCACAAGTTTCACAAGGTATCTCATTAATATTGATTATTATCATCTTTAAAAAATTGCTTCATTAAATAATAATCTCGTCTGTACAACAGCAGATGAAGCCGAATACGGAGAAGACTGATTGCTTAATTCGTTGCCACGGGGAACACTGCAGTTCTTCCCAATGTTGCTCGCGAGAAAACTTCTTGGATGATGCGTGCAAGCCAACGAAAGATGCGCACACCATCAGCAGGAAATACGATAAAAAGGAGATAATACCAGCAGCTGCGTGTGCGATTAGCTTGGAAAAATTTACCGTTTACGAGGAGAAAACTCTAGAGCGGAATGTAAACGATCCAAGAACAAAAGAATCTGCGCATAATCCGACGAACGAAAGTGCTACATGTCACTCCAACGATAAAGAAATACAAAGCATTTTAAATGTTAATCCTGAAGCTAGTTCCCGTGCGTCAAGTCTAACCGATCAGACATCTACAAGTGTCACGACCGATCGAATACCCGCACGTGCCGATAGCAATCTGGACCACAGTGTCGTATCTTAAGTTTCTTACTTATACCGTTCAGAGATAGATGTTAGTTTTATTTAATACTTTTACCTGGAACTGGAACTTGCTTGTGAAAAAGACTATATGTGATATTCACATTTAAAAAACGCGATTTTTTATGCCACTTGAAATATCAAAGATAAATAGGGAAGAAAAATCGTGTCTACAATTAATCTTAAAAGAATCTATAATTCACAAAGGAAGCAGCATAATATTAACGAGCAAATCGACTATACACAAAAAAAAACATCTTTTAAACGAGAAAACAAAGTTTTAAAGATAACGATAACGATAACGTGTGTCATTGACTGCTTATCCTATACGTCAAGTGTGGACGCTAATGATCGGAAACCTGTTGCTGTGCTGTGATAGCAAGCAAGGGTCCACAGCACCCTAGCTTAAACTTTTTAGAGTCTCGTTGCTAAGACAAATAATTGTTTTAGTTTTGATGTCCGCGACTAGAATCGCTGCAAGCTCGTGTGTAACGTGTGTATCGTTTACAAAGGAAATATTAATTGCAAATTTTCAATAAATTAAAAACATAAAAATTAATATTGACCTTATAAAAACAACATTTTATATTTCAAGTTGAATTTTTAAATTAAGTTTATTGAATTAAGAATTTATTGTATACCTAAAATTTTAAATAATTAAAAGTAATAATCAACGTTATTCCCCAGAACATTAGTTTCATTTTCTCGCGTTTCTAATTCCGAGATGACCACGTTGAAAAGATTGACCTCTCGGAATCACGGAAACATGTCAATCTTTTTCATCTTTCAAGAATCTTAATTTTTTGAAAGGATTATACTATATCTAAATAGATTTTCGCACAAAAAAGCCTTATACATAATATAATAACGCAACAATCCTATCTGCGACAACATTAACGTGCACAAGGAAATGTATATGAAAAGCTATACAAATCAACTATATTTAAATACATTAACGGAAACTATATGGTTTGGATATAACTCGCGCTTTTATTATATCATGTCCAAAGAAATTATTATAAATTCTGACGAGATGTGAGAAATAGAACGTGTTGAAATATTTGAAATGAGGAAATTATCATCGTATAAATACTGCCACGTCAAACATAAACGTTATTATGTTTATTTAATTTATGCTTTAAAAAACTACTTTTATTTATTAGTTTTATTATTATTCCATTATTCTTTACGAGCTCATTTATTTTTTATTATTTATAAATTATAACATGCTCATCTTATCCACTTTATGATTATATATAATCACTTTTTGCATTAAATTGTAATCAAGTTAAATATATAGAATAAAAAATTGAATTTAATTATTAAATGCAATAATAACTTGGTTTAATAAATTAATCATGTTGTGTTGTAATATCATTTAATACTACAACGCCATCACTATATAAATTTCCTAAGCTTCAACTACCACGTACCTACAAATTTTTAATAACGATTTTTGATAATGCAATGTTTAATTACATTTTCAATCTCATTTTAATTTTTAATAACTTAGCAAGTAATATAGACATATATTAACAATTTTTTTTTACTATTCCTTAATGTTGAATAAAAAAGAACTGTATATAAAATTACATAAACGTATTGCTTCTTATATATTTTCATATTTAAAAGAAAAAAAAATTACTCTGAAGAAACAAAGGCGCGTTAACTATGCCAATTCTTCCTGCTAACCATGTTTAATAACCATCAGTTTTTTGCACGTAGCTCATGCTAATTTAAAGATCCCGATAACATGTCGTGAATAATAAGAAAAATATAAGAAAGCAATGTTACTTGTAAACTAATTAAAACGTGCCATTTAGCAGCAAGTATCTCAGGCCCAAAATAATTAACCATAACTACATGGAGAGTAGGATTGTATATAAACATCTACATCTCTATTTATAGCACTTGCAGATATTCTCGGGAAAAAATCTTTGATAACGTACACCAACGCCCGCGAATGTATGTAACGATCAAGAATTATTGTTATATATGTATATCAAACATTTTTATTACATAAAAACTGTTTTTAATTTCAGACTTTTCAAACTATTTGTTTTAATCTTTAGATTTTTTGAATTTACAATTTCACAAATTTATTTTAAAACTTCTGTTTGTTCACTGCAACCATCGCTTGGCGTGGTGATGTCAGAAACGAGAAAATATATCGTGAAAAATCTTAAAAAAAAAACATAAAAATAGCGTTTGTAGTCGATAGACTTGTAAAATATACCTCTTCTTTTGCTCTGTAAAAAACTCTTCTTTTGCTTGGATAATCAATAAATAACCCATCTATGTCGAATTGACGTGTGCCTAATTATTATGGATGAAAACAAGCCGTTTGACAGCTGCCAACGTGAAATAAATATTAAAACACTACGGCAATTATTTTAAATATAGAAACATCAACGCTAATTGTAAAACGAAAGATGACGCTGTACATTACAAGAATAATTTATAGCTTTTTAACATCATTTCTCATACCTTTTATAGTTTACACGTTTGCCAAGAGTGACGCGCTGTATGTGTACGTACTGTCAACGCGGACTTGGCATTCGAGCCAGCAGGAGCTTTAATTATACAATAACTGCGTAAAGAAAGTTTCATGAATACTTTTGATCTTTGGCAAATGAGATGTCTGCCATATAAAAATATTATTTACTTGTATATTTATTTCGATATTTCAAAGTAAATGCGATTTTGAATAACTAATATATAAGATATTAATTTGAAACTAACATCTAATTATATATTTATTATATATTAATTATCTACATGTTTATTGATCTTTTCGTTATTTCGTTTACTTGGGTAAATATAACATATATAATTAATATCTATATGTATTATTAATATTTGTGAGACATCATAGAACGGAATTTTATTTCTAACTTTATTCAGAACATGACAGTTTGCTCTCAACAGAGTTTGGAAAACACGTCATATTATCACATAATCTACAAGTTTCCCCAGCACAGTATACGATACGTGTGTGAGTTCTTTTCATAATCGTAGCAATATCTGTAGCGTAGTTTATATGATAAAGACGAAACGCGATTGCCGGCCGGTGCGATTAGGAATCATCAGAGAGTTCGAGGTGCCTCTGTGCGATTGCAAGCAGCAAAAGTCGAATGATGTCGAAAGATGACGTCGTCGTCTCCGTCCCCCGATCTCCGATAAACTCGAACGGGAACTTGGCCGGGTGGGGCCTCGTCGTTGAGTGTGCAGTCGAGTGTTGAGTCGCGCCTCGCGCCTGCGGCAAACATTAGTATGAAAGTCTCCAAAGTAGGGAGTAACAAGGGCCCGGCGCGCGAAGAGAGACTCCGGAACCTGTTCTTCGGGACGCATACGCGTCCAATCTGTTCGTGTTGCATCAGTGTACAAAATTCACGTGCTGCATCGATGTGCAAAAATGTGACAAGCCGGTAACGTAAGGTGTGCGAGAAAATGAAAATGTTGCCGCACCGCGCACGACTTTGCATACCGGTGCTCATCTTAGCGCTCTCTCAAGGTACGTAACACACACCTGACCTGACGCTCATCACCCGTGTGCCAAGGAGATCCTTCACTGAAGCGTAACGTAGTCACGTGGCCGCCATTGAGTCACATTTATCGGTGTCGCGGTCGGATTTTACTCGACGCGTACGACGTAGAAGCATATTCAGCGAATACCGATCGGTTGATTAAAACAGCGTCCCAGCAGCGTCATTTCTTAAATTGTCCAAAGAACGTCGAACCTCGATTAACGCATGCTCGGTACAGCAGCTCGGTACACGTCATACTGCCCGTGATTGGAGAATATATTTAATGTTTTATTGTGTTGTATGCTCAATGAATTAAAGAGGGAGCCGAATTTTTTTACTAAAACCAAAGTATTAAATCTGTATTAAGATTTTTATTGAAATGAGCATACGACTTTCTCCGCGAACGGTACGTTTCATTTTGAATCTTTCCAAGTATTGTATATTCTACAAGAGATGGAAAAAAGCATAAAATAAATTATATATAATTCGATTAGTAAAATTATATTTTCAATCAGCCTCTTTTGATTCACGTATCGCAATAATTAATCGTTGCCGAATTATATCGGCAAATTGAGATAACGCAACTGATATTTTTGATCAAATAAAGATATTTCATATGATATTTCATAATGTATTTACTTTCACATATTTCTCACAGACGATTATTTCTCAGCGGTATATCATTGATAAAATTTTATTGAACTTGGTTAGGTAACTTGGTTCATGCGGCGCGGCGTTCTAATAAATGACAATAATTTTTATTAGGTCTAGTAATATGATCAATTAAGCAACCAAGGTCTACTCGTAATGCGAGCACCTAAAATGCTCCGTAAAAATCACAAGAAATGATGGCGAGAGTAGAGTAATCCCTGAGATACGTACATACAACATATACAAAAGAAACATTAATGATATTAACTATACATTTGAAACAATCAACACTTGGTTGCATTAGCCATTTCATTTGTGCGATACATGTTCTGTCGCGATGACAACATATAGAGAGTAGCTTGAACGCATTATTAAAAATAACATCATGTCGCGATCGGTTTTTATTTTGTTCTCTTGTTAATAAAAGTTGACATCTTCTTGAATTATTTTTGGTAGCATTTTCAACTACTTTTGAAAGAGTCTAATTTAAAATAATAAATTTAATATAATAATTTTAATATTTTTATTATTTAATATCAGATTTTTATAAAATACCATGCACACACATTGCAAAAGTTTTACAGAACGTACTATTACCATATTTTTCTATACAACACATTACACACAGTTTCAAAAATAATCACAGATTCGCTGTAGTTTACTAGTTGAAAGATACACTAAATATACAATAGCAAACTGATAATGAGAATATTTTTCTCAGTCTCTTATTGCTTAATAAGAGGCCATTTTTTTTACATTACTTCTTAAAATACATTCATAAATAAAAAAGATTCATCTAATCTATATAGACAATACTTGAACATTTATAATTCTTTAATTATAAAAAAACTAATTTTGATGATATTCACCTCCAAGTGATTATTTTTAATTAGTGAAATGTAATATACATATCTAAATATAAATGAAATATATTAGTCAAGATACCCAAAGAAAATTGGAAAAAATATCTGTGCATTTGTTCTGAAAATATTACATCTTGAGGTTACGTTCATTCAGTGTAAAAAAAATTTTAAAATTTACGTAGCAAATCTTCTCAATTTTTGGTTAAAAAATTTAAATTCAAAGATCAAATTCTTTCAAAATTAATTAATACGTCTTTTTGTCACAACACGTTTTATTTTGTTTCGTTATGTTTCGCAACATAACATTGTCTTTAAATATGATTTTGTTGTGATAATACGAAAATATTTTCAGTGATGTGGTAGTCTTTTTCATGCTATTTACAAGATTCGTATCATATTTACGTACATGACTGGAGCAAAGATTAGCATGTATACTTGACGTCATAAACTCACGTGCTCACGTCATATGCAACTCGATCTCATCTTTACTATATGCGAATTAGTTGAAAACTATGTATTTGCCTCCGTGTATTCGCTCGCATTAACATGTTTCTTATGGCTTCTACAACAAACGCACTCTGGCTGATAATACGGGCACATTATCAAGAGAGGAAAAAAGGACTTCCTTCCTATAGAGCCACGCGGTCGCATTTGCGCAGAAACAGACTGACGGCACGTGTGCGTCCTTTCATATACAGAAGAGAGTAACGAGGAGAGCCAGATGATAAAGCCAATCATCCGCAGGACATTGCGGCTAACGTGATGACGTTTCTTTCGAAACTGTTGTTCATATTCCCGTCTTTTGCGTGGCAATAATTTCCATCATATTTCGATAGAAATGCGTTTCGCATTATTATATAAACGTAAATACAACTTGGTTATTGGGCGATGGCACAACATTCGACAATAAAATTTTGGAATAAAGAATATTTCTCCATTAGGATTGTGAGAAAAATTACTACGTATATCCAACAAATTTTAGACAGTCCACTGAAGGGCACTGATCGTGCTTCAAATGCACGAATTAATTGATAATTTCGTTTTTTTTTTTTTTTTTTTTTAGTATCAGCAAGTAACAAACCAAGCATCTACCCGAACCAAGAGGAAATTGTAATAAACGAAGGAGAACCTTTAGAGATTACATGCATTAGCTTCGCACCAATTAAATTTGTTTATCCCGACGCTCTTGAAGAATCGGTATGCACTATAAATTTTATTATAGGCAAAGTTTTGACATTGCTTATTTATTGCTTGATTATAGAGTTTGGATACATTTTTCGTTATACATTTCAGATATTCGATCGTCTTTTATTCTCACATTTAAATTGTACAAGTTGATCCTAGCAAAATTGGATAATTTTAATTCTGGTAATTGTAAATTGTTTATAAATATTTTGCTTTTGTAGCTATATACATGTACATATAATATATGTATATACATCTTTATTGTATAATTATTTTCGAAATAGTTTAGTAAGAAAGATATGGATATTGCTCCTTTTACAAGTAAAACTGTAAAATGCATTTTTTGAAAAAAATATTAAAATTGTTATAATCAAGCACTTGTATATCTATAAGAATATTAAGGTTTATTATAGAAATTATAATATTCCTATTTTAAATTCCTATGTAAAAATAAAAGGTTTGGCATGTATATCAAACTTTTAATTATATTCCAACAGGTTAATACTTCAATTCCAAAAACAAGCGAGACTGAAGATAATGGCTTTTACCATTATGTTTTCCAAAGGCCAAACACCGTTTTCGGTGATACAGGCTGGTACGGTTGCGCCGATCACAATGTTGAAATCATTACAAATTCCTACGACGATCCCGAGATAAGCTGGTTGTACGTTTATGTGAAATGTAAGATCAAATCGCGCGTTTCTCATTAATATGTAAATCAATAAGGAAAAACATTTGTATCTGCAGTTTGCTGCAGAATGTCATATTTGCATTTTCACAATGCATTCATTTGTTACAGCCAATACGAATTTATTCGTCGAGGCGGATACTTACGCCCATCTGAGTGCAGTTGCTGGCGGCAGCATTGTAATACCATGCAGACCTACATCGCCAGATCTAGTACCCATCTTGTCTGACAATAACGTGAGTATTGACAACAAACTTAGTAGCAGATAATTTGCAATTTAAAAGTAAAACTAAATAAAATTATATTCAACTTTAAATGACTCACGTTCAGTTTCCATTTCAAAAGCTTGAAAACGTTTGACGTTAAGGAATAAATATGCGCTCTATATATGCTTAGATTTATAGAACATGCGCGGTTACGACATACCACTACGTGTAAGCGACATACTAAACTTGCTTATTTACACATTTCGTTAGCTTTCGGGAACAAGAGTTTTAATCCTTGTTAATATTACATGTTTGAAAATCCAAGTTTAAGAACTATAACGTAGCAAATTAAAAAGGCTGTTAAAAAGCATATTGTTAGTATTCAAGTTTTTTATTTCTAATATTATAAACAAGATTATATAAACTAATGTTGATTATAATCATAAATATAATTAAAAGTAGCTGTTGATTTTATCAACTTGTTATTCATTATTATAAAACGTTTCTAAAATCTCTCAACGTTTAATGTGCAGGAAGAAGAATTGAAGGAGGCGTCATTTGATCCGAGAATTGGTTTTACGATTAGGAACCTGCTGGTGAAAGATAGCAATTGGTACAAGTGCTCGATAGAGAAGAACGGCGAAGAGCACGCGGTCAATTACGTGTTGTCCGTGCACCGTAAGTGCGGTCTCGCGGCTTGAGATGTTAATTCAGTCTCACATGTACTACATACATATATACCTATATGACATTCGTTAGCGCCACATCACACAGTCTTGATCGTTTTAATTTCATGCTAAAACAATATCGAGGCAATCATCATACCATTTAATAAGAATGATTAAATTATTTGCGCAGTAAAACGAACCTTACCCGAACCAAAAATTCAAGACGACAGCCTGCTACACGTTACACGCGGACAAGATCTCTATGTAAATTGTACTGTTGAAGTGGAAATATCCATGAGATACGTATTCACGTGGCACACACCGCAGCAGGTAACTACACTATTTTCTTGTAGTATAAATAACACAAAGACGTAGATCAAGATTGAACTTAATAATTAAGAGCGCGTCTTGTTCCTCAATTGGCAAAAACATGGATAAAATCGATGCACGTAAGGCTCAGTCACAATGAGAGGACGAAGGACGAAGATAAAGGAATTAGGAATAAGGCATGTTGCATTTAATGTACGTGTACTGAAGTGAGATGCGACATTCCCTTATTCCTTATTCCTTTATCTTCGTCCTTATTTTTGTCATTGTGTCTGAGCCCTTAATGATGAAAAAGTCTACTTTCCTCAAATCCTGATTTTTTAATTATATCTTTTTTAATCGTTACTCCGGGACATAATTTTAATTATTTTTATTATATCTCTAAAATATACGAGAAAAAAATAGATGTCTCTAATTATTTATTGTTAGTCTTTCTTCGAGAATTAGAACGCAAAGTTCTAGGAGTCTGAGGATCTAAGATTCCCTGCCTGAGAATTGAAAACGCGCACAGCTTAACGCGACATACAAGTTTCCTGTATAAATCTTTTCGATTGCAATATATTTATCGCTCGCATGCACATATACACGTGACCTTGTTTTATTTGTAGAATAGCAGTAGAATAAGCACTCAGCAATTCAGAAAACATCTCAACGGAAATTATGTCTTAGTTACGTGTCAGTTGACGATACTTAATGTAACAGACGAAGACGCGGGGGAATATGAGTGCGTCATTAGGTCGATTCATGACACCAAGAAGATAACAAAAAATATCACGATACACGGTTAGTTTATCATTAACTTGGATACATACAATCAAAGAACGTGTATATTTATGGCGAAACCATACATGTCTCTCACGTAAATACGCAAAACGAATCGATATATTTTCAGATCCTCAAATGAAATATATTAATCTTACACCTCAAAACACCGATAAATATTATCAAGCGGAAAGCGGTAGCTACGTTCAATGGGTCGTCTATGTCGATGGCTATCCGAAACCCCATTTACAATGGTAAAGTTTTCAACATTTATTAAAATATTGTTACAAGTCAGAAAGTTGACGTAATGTAGTATGTCATTCGCGTGTATACGAATATAAAGTAATAAATCACATTTAATCATTTGCGATGTTTTCCATGTATTATCCGTTACTCGTAATAAATGTTAAATGTATATACGTATGTATATTTAATGTTAATCATCTATTTTATTTACTATACTACAGGTTCAAGCCGAATGGCGAAGAAATTATAGAGAGCCCAAAGTATTTCATGAACACAAGCGCAACAGCTACGTTGAAAATAAACACATTAAGCGTAATGGACTCGGGAAATTACACACTTGAAGCAAAAAATGATTTTATGATCGAAAAATTGAATTTTACATTGGATGTTATAGGTATCGAGATGATTTTCTAATATTAAATAAAAAAAACTGCAGTAAATACACTAAAACACGAATAGGGTATACAACTATTTATTTACAACTGTTGTCGTATAACATTACTGTTGATTTCAGCTAAGCCGGTTGCCTTATTGACCCATATTGACTCTTACTATCCGCCTAACGAAAGTACAGAATTTCATTGCGAAGTAATATCTAATCCACCTCCAAATATAACATGGAGTTTTCTGAGGTGTCCTATTTATCCATCGCTGGAGAATTCAACAACTGTGTATCTGACGGTAAACGCACGTTCATGTCAACTTTTTTCCATTAGACAAGTCTCTGTACTTGTACTCGTACTTGTTATAACAAGAAAATGAATTTTATAGGACGTGACGCAATCCGCAGCTTACAGCTCTAGTTACAGATTCGAATCAACGGTAAAAATGCCTATCGACGTATCGGGGAAAATAACGTGTAAAGCCTGTAATGTCGTTGATTCTGTAATCTCCTGTGATTCTGTGACCGAGAACATTCTTGTCTCCGGTAAGAATACTCGTTTTTGCGTGTCTCGTTATTATAACCTTTAATACGTACATGCAGTCATCTTGCATATCTTTTGATATATTCCAGTCAAGTATCAATTAAAAAATTAAATTAAATCTTGAAAATAAAAACACCCGCTCATTCCACGTACAAAATTGATTCTTGTTGATCTGCAATTTTATATACATTTAAATCATTTCTCATATGCCATTGCAAAGTGTTTTTTTATTTGTATTTATCGTTTCCATTTTTATCACAAAATCTGCATCATAGTGCAACCATTATCTTATTAAACGCAAAATAGATTAAAATTCAGGTTATAATTTTTTTTAAAATTTTTAATTATTTAAATAAAAATGCTTTTAAATCATCATGTCAAAAATCGATAATACGTCTTCTCATCTTTTATTCAGATGGAGTAGGCGCTTTTGGCATTATTAGGCCAAACGAGTCTGTGACGATAGGTGATGATGTAGAATTGACGTGTGCCGCTTCCATTTATAATTATACAAACGAATTTACATGGACCACACTGGTAAACCAAACTGAAAGGCCACTTGCAGAATCAGGTAATTATTTTAAACAGAGAACAAAAGTACATAAAAAAGAAAGAATTATATATTTTACAATATTGGAGATTTTTCGAATTTTTTGGCGGGGGCAAAATTCTGAAAAAAACTAATTTAAAAAAAATACAAAATACAAAATAAAAATACATTATTATATGCATAATATAATATTAATAATCTGCTATTTGTACCTAATACACGTATTGTAATCATATTTCATTTTCCTTATTAAATCGTACTATTTTATTTTAGTTTTAAATTATTGCACTCGAAAACATTTTGATGAAAAATTTTCTTCTTTATCATCATTTCTACCGCGACACAGTACAGTGAATGAAATACTAGAAATATTAATGAACGGGTGATTTAATGTAAATATTTTTCCAATTTTTGTTATTTTCAGAAAGATTACAGATTACGCAGCATAAAACCCCATTTACCTATCGATCAACGTTGAAGCTCAATAATGTCCAAGAATCAGATGCCCAAGATTATTTCTGTACCGGAAAAATCATGAATCGTGAGACCTTGGAGCCTCTTTCCGACTACGCAACGTACAAATTAATTGTTCACGGTATAATCAGTTTATTTAAGTAATACAACAGTATTTTAATTCTCAAGTAATTTTTTTAGAGAAAGTTTTATCTAAAATTTAATACATTTTGAATGTTTTAAAATATCATACATATATATAGAAATATATATGTATATATATACCTTTCGTGCGCACAAAGTAAATTTATTATAAAAGTGTATCTACACTATTCTTAATGAAAAACCTAGTTGTTAATCAAGTTTATACTGTGTGATAAAATGCCCAACCTTAAACTTTTATTCAATATTTTATAGATCCGGTGCTACCGTTTTTTGTCAAAACTAATATGAATGAAACTAAAATTAAAACTATCGATGTGATTGCCGAAGGTCACAAGACGGTGATATTGCAATGTTTTGCAGAAGGAATGCCGAAACCAATAGTTACCTGGTACAAGGTGACATGTGCATTTATAATTATTTTTGTGTTTAATAAAATTGAAAGCGATGTATATATAATATATTTTTTATATTTAACATCTTTCAGGACAATGTGTTGCTGAAGGAAAATGATCAGTATTCTTTTAAATCTTATAAATATGATAATTATAAAGAACTTAATATAAACTATTTGAAGCAACATGATGGCGGAAATTATTCGTGCCGGGCTGTTAATCGATTGGGCACAAACGAGACTTTTCAGCAGATAACGGTGAAAAATGCAAAATGTAAGTTTTATAAGCAAATATTATATTTATAAAATAATATTAAGCGGGTTAAAAACTTGTAAGGTTTTGCAGGGCACAAACTTGACATAATATTAGCTACTTCAATAGCTATTATGGGTCTCATCCTAGTGATTTTAGCCATCTTTTTCACGATTAAGGTTCGTCGTGAAAAGGTAAATCATATATATATATATTCCATAATTATTATAATTTGTATTACGTATATAAAATAAAATTCAGTATTACGTTGTAAGAAAATATTTTATGAAGAATGTAATTTAATTAAATTAAAATTGTGAATCGTCATACAGAAAATGAGAAAAGAATTGATGGAAGCGGGTCTTATGCACTTTGAAGAAGGTGCTTTAGAATGTTTAAATCCAGATTTGACGGTTGACGATCAAGCGGAACTACTCCCTTACGATAAAAAGTGGGAATTTCCAAGGGAACGATTGAAACTCGGTAAGCGCGATTATGCTTTGTATATAACATAAAAAATTATCAAGCACGTTGGCATCCGCGATTTAATATACGGTAGTGTCTCATTTCGACTACGTATTTTTTAGGAAAGCAATTGGGCAGTGGTGAGTTTGGAGTGGTAATGAAAGCGGAAGCGCAAGGGATATGCGAAAACGAAACTGTCACTACCGTTGCCGTGAAGATGGTTCGTCGAACCACTAACCCAACTTATGTACGTGCACTTGCGAGTGAATTGAAAATTATGGTGCACCTTGGCAAGCATCTAAACGTCGTCAATCTTCTTGGCGCTTGCACTAAAAATATTTCCAAACGTATGTATTGCTGAAAAACGAAAGACTATTACAACACGATTAGGCGATTAAATGCGCAATTATTACATGTCTCACATTAAAGAAAACTACATGTGTCGTGAATTTTGAACAAAGATGGAACGATTAAAATCAAGTAATTATATATTAAGCGTTATTAATTAAAATTGTTACATCAGGCGAACTGCTGGTGATTGTCGAATATTGCCGCTTTGGAAATTTGCATAATTATCTTTTACGACATAGAAACGATTTTATTAATCAAATCGATCCCAAGACTGGAAAACTCGATCTTACTATCGGTATGGATATACTGATGAGAACTGTTAGCGTCAGTAGTAATAACAGGTTTGTCTACCAATCATATTCCAACAGTCCATTATCGCTAACTGTCACACTTGTTCTATTTTATTATCAAGTACTGTACTATAATATTTGGAAAATATTTCCGACTGCATTTTCTAAACTGGCTGCATCTTAAATCTTCTGCTTTTATAAAATGCAATGCATATATGTAGGGAAAAATGGTGTAGTACGTGCGAATACCTGAGGTCAAGTAAAAATAAACCATTGAAAAATTTAATTTGTTATTTAATGCCACCAAACGGGTAATTTTTAGTAAAACTAGAAAAAAAATTTCAACTACTGAACAGTCACATTTGAAAGTTATTTATAGATGACTTCCTTAAGTAGATGTTCTATTCCAACTAAATAATTCATTATTATAGAGATGTTTCAAAAGCCTAAAAGAGAACAACATGATTTATGTAAACAGACGAAAATTACATCAAATTGATGGAAATAATAATTTAATTTATACCTTGAATATAGCGTACGCGTTCTCTCGCTTTGAACTTGCAGGCAATATTAAACATTATAGGAAGGCTATGCACGTAGAGAACGCGGGGAATGTGCGGGGCTGAGAGAGACGAAACCTACTAAAATTGCGTCGTTCGGGATTACCCCATTCTCCCCTACATGAAGAATTTCTTACAGTCCTTGCAGGAAATACTAATCAAACTAAAATTCAAGAGTTGTTGCTCTCATGTTCTTTACTTTTAGTTTAATGTATTTTTAACAAGATAAATTTCTATACTAACGCGCAAAAAATCTCCCCGTAGTCGTTTAATTAGTCTAGAGCAAAAGAAATTTCAGCAACTCTTGATTAATCATACATGTGTATGTATTTATTAACTGTGTACGCTGCTAAATAAAAATGTACCAACAATAAGTGAAGCATGCACATACGCACGCAAACTGATACGCATGCAAAGGGTTGCGGTTTAACAAGGTTCTTCTTTTCTCTTCTGCCCATACAACAGGATAAAATATGCGGCATTGTCCTTTTCTCGCAGTCTTAGTGCGAATTCAGATACCGATGATGTAGTGGTGCATTATTGTCCGGGAACGAATTTGGACTCTCCAGAGATTAATTTCTCGCCAGACGGGGGGGGTTGCGTCAGCAGTAGTACGTCATCGCAACCAGGATGGAGATCAAATTACACCGGTGACTATAAAGATCAAAATCTCAAACCGATCTGCACTCAAGACTTATTGTCTTGGGCATTTCAAGTAGCACGTGGAATGGAATATCTGAGTCGACGAAAGGCAAGTCTTTTAATTAACACAGATAAATGCGAAAGAAATTGCAAAAGAAATCTAAACAATAAAATACCAAACTTTTAATTTTAATCTCGATATGATTGATGATGAACAATAGAGTATATAAACGGAACAAATTAACATTGTTTAATATCAAGCAACATTTAGAATTTCATCTTTTAAATTGTGGACCATTGTTGCAAAATATTATAAAATTTACTTTTTCTTAAAATGCGGGGTTCAAATATTCGTATTTTTAATAATATCTCACGATATTTTGAGCGCATCAGATGTGTATCTTTCATGATAATATGTACATGTACATATTTCTACAACAGGTATTGCATGGAGATCTGGCAGCAAGAAATATCTTGCTTGCCGAGGACAACATAGTGAAAATTTGCGATTTCGGCTTAGCAAAGACTATGTATAAAGATGGCAATTACAAGAAAAAAGGTGATGATCCGGTGCCCATAAAATGGATGGCCATCGAATCGATCAGAGATCGAGTTTTCTCGACGCAATCCGACATATGGAGTTTTGGCATAGTGCTTTGGGAATTTTTCACGCTGGCTGAGACGCCGTATCCCGGCATGGAGGCAGAAAAACAGTATCAAAAATTGATCGAGGGCTACAGAATGGAACAGCCGGATTACGCTATTCGCCAAATATATGACATAATGTTACAATGCTGGAAAGCCAAACCGACACTACGTCCAAGCTTTACGGATCTTGTGGAGAGCATTGGAAATTTATTGGAAGAAAGTGTGAGATTGGTAAGTTTTTTTTTCATCTTCGTCTTGTAACAATAAGCATTAAGCTGTGATACGAGCGAGAGAATGGAGCACGATATACATATATATATATATAGATAAATTAGTTTTTCAACAGTAAAGTATAATCAACAGCAAAAGTGATTTTCAACACTAAGAATAAAGTAATCAAATATTTAAATTATAAACAATAATCAGTGATTTAATTGTCGGGTCCTTGGAAATTTAATTTAAGAAGAAAATATATACCGTCTGAAATTGTACATGAAATTTTTGAGAATATAATATATATCTTATAATATATTAATATATAATTATATATTACTACATATATATAATATAAATACATATGTATACTTGGATGTATATGTATATCAATATATTCGCTCGTCAAAGAAGATACAGCATATAACAAAAGCATTGTTTATCGCTGTTCCAGCATTACATCAGCCTAAACACACCGTATATGGACATGAACACTATGAATCTGGAGAGCGGAAAAAACGATTATCTAACGATGATGTCCGCGCCGGATCACGCGATTCTCGCGTCACCGAATCACGATTATGTAAACTCGCCGTTCTCAAAAGGTGCACCGGATCCGTCATACTTGTGCATGAGCCCCGGCATGAGTCCGACAGACGAGTCCGGGATATTTAGTCCTAGACCGCATCAAGAACACTCGCACTTTGAGTTTCCATCGCCCGTGTCGGATTCCGAGGACGCGGTCGAGCAGTCTCCAATGCTGAAGCACGAGGAAGATCCCTACCTGAAGCCGATCAATGTCCACGAGCGAAGAGCAGAGTTCGCGCGGCAGAGGCAAGCGATGAAGAATCAAACGGCCGATAGACCGATGGATCGAGATTCCGGTTATTGCAACGCACCGCGGAATCTTCACCTGATAGATCTAAACGACACCGATGAGAACGACGCGCAAACAGACACGACGGACTCGAGAAAGAAAGATTACGCACCGTCTATTATCAGCACGCAGGACAATTACGTGAACATGCCCAAACAGAAGAATGATCTAAGAAAGGGTATGCCGGACAGCTTTAGTAATCCCAGTTACGTGATGATCAGTAACCGCGAGATGGACCAGAGAGCTTAGTCCGCTTGGAGATCGCGCGCTCCTATGAATACCGAATTATTTTAAGAGTAAAGTTCAATGCAGTTTAGTAATTTATTCGTTAACTTTTACCGCGGTAATCTGACGACTTTTTACTCTATTATAGTTGTACGTGCATCCACGTCATAATAATATACGGTAAAATATCGAATTTAGTATTTCGCAAATAATCTCTCAATCAACATACCATAGCGATTAATAGCGTATCGAGAATGCATCATCAAGTAGGAGCAAAGAGAATATTTTTTTATTATATATATATATATATATATATATATATATATATATATATCGCAGTGCGAGAGAATGATTTAGTATATTCATGCATAATACGCAAATATTTAAATTTCATTTATTCTTCTTGTGTAACAATTTACCAGCTTTTAGTTTACAAAATTGTTTACATACTTCCCCTGCGTTTATGGAGATAATTTTTTTACGAAAAAGTATGAAGAAAGTGCCATTTCCTAACTTTAAGAATTAACATTCGGGTATTGTGACGCATTTTATATGGAAAATGCAAGAATTTAAAGCAAGTTTATCAAACTAATAATTCTTTAAAATATTATTGTCAAGTAAATAATTTATATATTTGACAAAGTATAAATCTGTGCATTATTATTAATCTATTTGCTTATACAGAACATATTGTGCACATTTATTTGTCATCTACGATTTGCAATCTAGATACTTGTTTATTGTGATATTATAGAGTACCATCACCATTTGTAATATTACACGAATGTCTCTCATCACATACAACGATATGTGTACTTCGAGATATATACTTAAACAAAAAATAGATAGATTATAGACATATAAAATAAGAAAAAATGCGTCATGGATTTTTTATTTGCGTACTAATATAATGTTTTGTTCTCATCATAACTTACTTGAGGTTTTATACACAGTTATTAATTTCTTATTTCTTACCTCTTTCGTTTATCACAAAGACATTGTCATGACATAATATACTTTTACTAATTTTTTATAAAATATATAAACTGTGCAAACTTATAAAATTGATATTATACGTAATATCAAATTATATGCTCTTTTTATAAATAAATGTGCGCGCGCGCATGTGTGAATGTGTGTAACAATAAGAGATATGTAAAGATCTCGTCACGTTGTACTTAATATTCATAGTATTTGTATAATTATTTATCAGAACTGAATCATTTTAAATTAAAAACAAGTTTTCATACAAGTAAAATACATAGTATATAAAATACATAATATTTTAGTGTTTTATTTTTATAAAAAATAGGATAATAATTAATTACATCTAAAAAACAAAAGTCGTGTAAGTAAGTCTCTAATATATTTATACAAAATGTCCATCGTAATGTTTTACCATTTTTAAGACACTTGCGACATCAAAAAAAGTAAATGTAAGAAAAACATTTCTGTTTCATGCTAGCTACAACTTGTGGTCTAAACTAAAGGAAACTAAAGAACTTTTTTTTCATAAAAAATTCAAGATTACTTTTAATTTTTTAAATAGCACCACACGATTTTTTTCATAATATTATAGAGGACAGTTTAATCAACTATTTACATATCATAAACAACACTTTTGGTACTTGTGTAACTTTGTGTATGCCGGTTACATATCTCAGGATAGAGAAAGGAAAAATTTCCTCCCTTCCTTTTTCCGTTTGCAAAAAATTAACAAAGAGAACTGATAAAATTATTTCGCAGGATATTGTGGTTAATCAAAGATTAAGGTTCTTTAAGCTTCTCTGGCATACTAAGATAATAAATCTTATACATTCCAGCAAAAGTTACACGTTCTATTCTTTTTAAAGAAGCAGTTCATCTAATAGACAATTATTTTTATGAATTGTTATTATTTCATTCCATGGCCATTTTGGCTATTTAATAGAATAGCTTTCAATTAAAGAAAAATATAAAAAAAAAGAATATATAATTAAACATTCTAAGAAACAGACAAAATCAAAATAATAAAATTTATATATATATATATATATGTGTGTGTGTGCGTGTGTGTATATGTATGATAAAACACATTTATATATAAATATATACATATATCAAACATCCTATCTCTATCTCAGATATAAATCAGCGAATGCTCTCCATGGCTCCATGTAATATTCAATATAAACATTCTTTCCAATTCGTTAGAGATTTGAGATCCAATTGGATCTTGATATACCTAAGAAGTATGCCTAAAAATTCATGCTATTTATCATCTATTTTTATCTATATTAATTTGTCGATCATTATTCTCGATAGATTGACCCAATCGTTTGTAATAAAATAGAGGATTTTCTACTCTACAACCCTAACTAACGATCACGTAGCTATATAGTCAACGTTAATAAATGGACATAACTGTCTGGTTTTCTTTCAAGTTTTCCTGATTCACCTGGAACTTTAATGGAAATAGAATAGTATAAAATCGTACCCGAATAGCTAAAATCTGTCGAGAACAGATTTTGAAAGTGTCTGTTACAAATTTTGTCGATAGAATGCCGACAAAAATAAATAACAGATTATATAGACAGATTGACTGAGCAGAAACTGAGCAAAACTTTTCATTTTGTAATCAATCAAGTATAATAATGTATTCTATTTCAATGTTTACGACATGATTCTATTCGGTTTCTGCCGACACGCTGCTGTCAGATTATATCGACAGACTTATTTCCAGCAAAACTAGAGTTTAATGCGGACACGGATGATATCGGATCTGTTGCAATATCTGCAGAGTAAATCTGCTGCCAATCTCTATCGTCATACTGCAAACATTTTTGCTTATTGAGCGATTATACCGATTACAAAAACCTAAATCTTTATTTTTTATATTTTTCTATTTTTAACGAAGATTTTCGTACATTATCTCGTCGAATATCTCTAATATGAGCTTTTTCCGTCTCATATCTCTATTGAGCCATTTTAATATTAATCGTTGCATCGTCGCTCATCACGTACTGATTAGCAATTTCCGGGAGCAATATTGATTCATCGCGGTAATAATGATCACGACTAATGGGGAAATAGTTGATAAAATCCTTTAGATAAAGATTATTAGCTTTCTTCTAGCGTTATTCATTGTGTTCTTCCGCGATGAGGACCGATGACTATATGCTCAAAATACGTCATCTATTTAGATTGCATTCTCGAACTTTGCGTTAACGTTGTCTCGCGAGGTCAAACGGTCAATTCAAAAGATATAAACGTTTACTCGAACACACTGGCCAGTCGATGTTCTATCAATACTTGGCTGTTTTCGTCTTTCACGGGGTACGTGATAATAAAGTGGCGACGTTGTATCAGCGGTCAGATAATGCGCATGATATGGTGATCTCTATACGACTCATGCGCAATGCGCAATCCGGAAGAAGCGACTATTTAGTCGCATCACGACGACACGCACTTTAACGATGAACAACTATATCTAAATGTGAATACGCGATAATGCCGATAACGATAAAAGTTATCCCTGCAGACAGTTATCTCCGCGAAGAGCGTGTACAAGGTCCGCCGCGTTGAACCGTTGAACCAGCTTCTTCTAGTATCATATGGAGCACATTAAGCAATCGAGATGCAAACTGTACATTTGTATTCATCGCAGTAAAATTTTTGTGTTGTTATGACAACGGTGTAGTGGGCTTGTCGTACACGGGGCTTCAAGAAATTAAATTTCTAAAAAACGAGAAAAAGAAACATCATGTCGGAGATAAAAGTGCTAGATGGTGGTTTTTCTACGCAACTGTCCACCCACGTAGGTGAGAAGATCGATGGTGATCCTTTGTGGACTGCACGTTTCCTCATAACCGAACCGAAGGCTGTCTTCGCTACTCATATGGATTTCTTACGTGCCGGTGCCGATATTATAGAGACCAACACGTATCAAGCAACCATCGACGGTTTTGTAAAATATCTGGGCATCACGGAGGAAGAGAGTCTCGAGATCATCCGTAAAGCTGTCGATTATGCTAAAGATGCCGTGAACGCTTACAGTAAAGAAATAGAGGATGATGAAAACGTGAGGAACCGAAAGCCATTGATCGCTGGATCTTGCGGTCCTTACGGCGCCTGCTTGCACGATGGCTCAGAATATACTGGTTCGTACTGTGCTCGTGTATCGCGAGAATTTTTGATCGACTGGCATAGGCCTCGCGTACGCGCATTGCTGGAGAAAGGTGTTGATCTATTGGCGATAGAAACGATACCTTGCGTCCGCGAGGCGGAGGCTGTAATCGATCTACTCAAGGAATTCCCGAATACGCAGGCATGGCTAACATTCTCCTGTAGAGACGATGGAAAGAGCTTGGCAGACGGCAGCGACTTTCAAGAGATTGCCGTGAGATGTTACAAAAATGCCCTGCCCGGACAAATATTAGCGATCGGCGTTAATTGTATTGCTCCACACGTCGTTACCACCCTGCTGCAAGATATCAATAAAGGCAAATCAAACGATCTTATACCATTGGTGGTATACCCTAATAGCGGAGAAAAATATATAGTAGCTGAAGGATGGACCAAGGAAGGAGAAGCTCCCTCTTTGCACGAATTCATTGACGAGTGGCTGGATCTTGGCGTTCGTTACATCGGTGGATGTTGTAGGACATACGCGACGGATGTCAAACGAATAAGATCTAAAGTGGACCAACGGCTAACGTAGACATGTATTTGCAAATTTAATAACCGTTGAGAGGATGACTTAAAAAATTTTTATAATAATATTATTTTATAATTATATATTAAATGCTTCCACAAACGCAAAATATATATTATAAAACATGATTAGATGAATAATGAATCCAAATTTTATTTCCATCTCTGAATAAATATGTATATATGCATGGCATGTATATGCACTACAATATGCACTACACTAATATTGTTTAAAATAATATCGATTTGATAGAAGCAATTATAATTTTGGATCTATTTCATCTGTAATTCTGATGGAATATGGCACGTCATGTATCGTTGTATTACTATGAAAATAACCACGTCGTTGAATGACATCTTTAACTAAATTCTGCTTGTACGTCATCCATCTAAAATGAAAGCCAGTAGAGGGAATAGTACAAGAATTTCTATAAATCATCAAGTCAATCGATACGTGGAAAAAATCTGAGAATGTAACTGAAATTATGTTTGATATAATTTATCGTACTTTCGATTTAAGAGAAACTCATTGAATAACTGTTTCTTAGTTGGGTATTTTGAGTCCATAAACAGTTTCACACGCCCCCAGATATTGGCACGATTGTGCTCGAACAACCAATAACGCGGGATGAGAAAACATCGTACTGGTGTAATCGCTACAATTCTTCGATGAAGCATTTTCTCGCCTACGTAATTAAATATTGACTTAATACATCTCACAATGCATTATATAGGTAGGAAAGTAATACAAAAGTTGTGACTAATTACGTGTTTCTCACCTAAACCGAAACATGCACCCCGGGAGAAGATGCATATTTGCATGAATATGGTACGAACATCATTCGGATAATGTACGTGAGATGTAACAGACGGTTCTCGCATTAATATCGCCGCAATATCGGTAATTTTGTGCCACCCTTTAACCTTAATTTTGCAATATTTATTAACACACGCAAATCTACCACGTGTCCAAAATTATACTAACAAATAAAATCAACGTTATCTATACGCATAACCGTTATTCCGCTTCAATAAGTTTTACAGGCAAGCAAACCTCAATAATTTACTTACAAGTGGCTAGCTATTTTAGAGCGTAATAAATTTTCGCGACAACGTACGTCGACCCAAGTAATACTACTGACAATGAGAATAGAATAGTAAAAAGAAGATTGACTGTGAATACTCACAACGTCCAAAAGTGTGGCGGTAACGATGCTTGATCGATCGACTTCGTCTTGCGTTTCAACGGGTCTCTGTAATAATAAATGAAATTGATAAACACACACATTCTCTTTGTTATAAATTTTTATAATCAGCACACAGTGTGAGATATCAAAATGTTTGCAACAACGATTTAAAAAGTTGTCCTGATTATGTACAATCATTATAATTAGCAATAATTCAATTCAAACAAGTTACTGTTACATGTGATAAACAAAACTTTTTGTGCATTTTTGTGCGAGAAGTGCAAACTATGTTGGTCGTATTAAAATTATATTAACGCAGAACGCATGAGCCCGATGCGTGTACGCGAATGCCGTTGCGTGATTGGTGTATCTATCGAAAATTAGTGCAAACGCAAAGCATTACGTGGTGTCGTAATAGATGTAAAGAAATAGCATTTTTTAAGGTTTTATCAAGACAAAAAAAAACAGTATATATATATATAAGAGAATAAAGTTTTCTTTTCTTAATTCGTACTGGAATGGATTTGTCAAGTGGATTCGATTCAAGCTCGACAGATTCCGCAATCTGTCTCGACACTCTTCGTGATTGTTTTTGTGGACCAAAATTTTCGGAATCATATAATTCGTATTGTGTTCCATGATAAGAAGAACGTTCGCGAACGAGCATATGCTCAATAAGGCGACATTTCCCACTCAAAATAAAATGCACGTAGTTCACCATGCCTCTTCCATCGCCTAATAAAACCTTTCAAATTACGTCGTTAGTATTTTCTGTATACTTTTTTATCAGACTTGTGTCTTACTTCTGAGAATTTCTGTGAGAATGTTGAACAATATTGAAATCTTTAAAAGATGATTATTGCACCGCCAGGTCATTTACCTCATTAGGTTTAAAGTCCTTCAGTTTACTCAGAATACAACACTCTCGTACCGTCTCTTCATCCCACAACTTGAAATAATTAAAATGAACTAACGCATCGCGGAGAACGTCCCACTTCTTCGTCAAACTATCACGCAATATGCTATCGAAATCGTCCCGAGTAATTAGAAGCAAGTCGATCGATGCTAAATGGTATTCGTAAATGAGAAATGGTATAAATTTTGATGAAAGATATATATATATATATATATTGTGTTGTCATAATTCATTTCTACCAACTTTTTGTGATTATCGTTGATGTTCTCGACACTGTGTGCAATAATGCAACTTCGCCAAACATGTCACCTGCATGCATGATTCCCATATCTACAACTTCCTCATTACCTATAACGGAAAATATACCTTACGTAACTATATAAGCTACATGATTTTTCTTTGGAAATGATCCTCGTTCACGGACATATAAATTACCTTGAAAGATTAAGGTTGTAAAAAAAAAAAATAATGATGTAAATTAACAATAAGAAAAGATTAACGTGGTATTCATCAGACGTTATAAACTAAATGGAAAATGTTGATACATCTCGTATCTCTGTTTCATGTACAAAATTAAACAGCGAATGTTTTCCATATGTAATATCTAATACAAAAATTCGCTTCCCACGTCCCAAGAGATTTCCAATAGGATCTTTTTGTGCCCAAGATTGCATGAAACTTTGTGCTAGTATTCTTCCTCACCTGTTAATTCATTGATCGCTACTTTTGACAGTGTGACTTCACCATTTATAATAAAATAAAGATTTTCCGCTCTACGACTCTGACGAACGATTATTCGATCAGCCGGTAAATATTGATAAATACACACAGTTGCCAGCTTTTCTTTCAAGTCCTCCGGATGCTTTGCAAATGCGTGAAATTTTGTTATAAGATCATATATGTACACTTTGTCAGCAGAAGATCTTTCAGATGGTCTCACTAACAATATCGATCGATCCTTAAATCAAGCACAGTACGTCTTTTACGCATTACAATACTATAAATCTTTTTATTTCCATTTATATACTTTCTTCTATATCTACTTTTAGCGCAGGTTAGGTTCTGAGCACTTGGTCGAATTTACGAATACCTTTAATGTGAGCAACTTTTTTTCTATTTTGTGCCTCTGCTGAGCCATTTTAATATTAATCGTCACATCGTCGCTAATTTCCTCGATTATTGGTTCCTCTGTTATCCAATTCATATACTCGAAAACGCGCCGCACAGCCGACCGAAACAAATAACGACCTTTTAATCTATCAGGCTAAATAAAAATAATTATGTATAATCTTTGTCTCTTGTTCTCTCTGTCTCCATTTTTTGATTTTAATAATTTTAAAAATTAATTTATAATATATAATGATAAATAATTCTAAATCTCTTAAATAAGGTTATTTTTCTATATATTATATATTATAACGTTATATGAGATCGTTCTTCGAAACGTCACACATCCCAATGATTATTTTTTCTTCTTACCCTAATTAGAGTCTTCCTAGGCAATAATTTATATGCGAGCGACTGACGCAAAGAACTTCTTCTTGCCTTGTACAAAGACATATCTCAGGATAGAAAAATAAGACGCAAACTGACGTTGGGTGAGTGAATTGTTTGATCGATCGCTAAAATTAAGAGCTCTACGCTCCACGCTCCACTGCTCCTGACTGCTCCAACGCCTCCAACCTATAAAATTCAAAAAACGTCGCCGCCGGCCGCTCGGTGGCGTTCGTAAGCAATCTCATTTGAGAAAATGACAAAATATGGTGGAACCAATAAGGGCCCGGACACACACTTCTGCACAACGCATAATGCATAAGCATAAGAAAATTGATTGGTCCATACACATGTGCATAAGGAAATAGACCAATCAATTTTCTTATGCTTACGCGTTATGCGTTGTGCAAAAGTGTGTGTTCCCCGCTTAAGATTTTCCCATGTCTCTCTAAAACCGTCTTCGACCTATGAATACCGCGGCCTAGAAAAAGGCGCGCGTAAAGCGGGGAGCACACACTTCTGCACAACGCATACGGCGTAAGCATAAAAAAATTGCGTGGTCTATTTCCTTATGCACATGTGTATGGACCACGCAAGTTTCTTATGCTTATGCATTATGCGTTGTGCAGAAGTGTGTGTCCGGGCCCTTAAATTCCGTCGAGATTTCGTGAGTTTTCGAACGCTGTGACATGACAAGATTCTTAACCTTAACCACCTTAACCTTAACCTGATTCTTAATTCTTGCAGTTTCTGTGGATTTCAGACGCATCGTTGTTTTCGGATCGTTTTCTTGGTGCGATTTCTATTGTGACTTCAAAACGATAAAATGGTAATAATCGACAGTGAGCGGCGTGTGTTGCAGGCAGTTTAATTTTTCAGTTTTAAGATTATTTCATACGATTCATCATACGGACAGGTTATGTTAATAATGACAATTGATTTTGGTTGTTTATTCTACTGTGGACTTTCATGTATCGTAAATCGTTAATATCACGTACACGTAATATTGACAATTAAAAAGTACAAAAACGTATTTGTACCTTGGTTTATAAGAATAGTTTACTGTGCAGTTTTCAAGCCACGTCTTATCTACTACTGTTTTGTGCGAAACAGTATAAGAAACTGGACTCAACGCAAAAGATTGCAATAATCTATTGTAATACGTGTTATAATTTTAGAGCTTCGGTTTGCCGTCAATTATACCCAAGCCTGCCGTACCCGAGCAATTCAACGTTAAAAGTGGAACCAACTATGACCTACCCAATCCTATGGTGTCAGGGTATAAAACGTTAATTAAATTTATTGGAAAAACCCAAGTTATAGAAATTAACTAACGCTTTACCATCTTTCAGATACGGTAAATGTATCTGACGTATATAGATACGTTTACTGTCTAAATTCACATTGAGGATTTCATTACGGTAATCATACATAACGTCAATGGTAATCGTAAACCTTATTCTCTCAAAAATAACGTTGGACATTATCTGAATAGCGTTACAGTGAACAATGTATATGGACAGTTTTGCCTTTCAACCGATAATGTAAATTTAGATGGTGAACGTATCTATATAATTTAGATACATTTACCATATCCGAAAGACGGTATTGCCGTTGCAAAAACTTCTTTTATATATATATATATATATATAAATGTTTGATATAAAATAGTACAGTTCTTTTAAGGCAGTTTTTAGCGTTAATCTTGTTTGTTTAGTCTGTCAGCAGTCAGACAGAGCATTGGTTATGCACATCCCTTGGAAGCTTCAGAGAGAAATGTAAGATTCATTGTGTATTCTATTAATATGGACAATTTTAAAACAGCAACGTGTAATTGCATTTATGTTTTAGTATCAAAAGAATCAAGATCGCATGAATATGATATTGCTCAGGAATACGCAAGGACTACACGCACCGTTGCGCATAGCGATGGAATTAAAAGCTACTGAGAAGATTGGAAGACTTCCATTTTTACCATCGTCTAATGTGATGCGAGATATTTTGCTTGGACAGGATCAAGATATAGGGTATTTATAGCCTATATCTTATTGATCATTCGTGCAGATCAATCTGTATCCGACGATTTTTATTTGTCTATATATTATTGTTTATAGATTTGAAGATATCTTTAATACGCCCGAATTCAGGGAACAAATGGGACAGCCACATGCAGTCGTAGAAAATCACCTCGGAGTATTGTAAAGTTGAAGGTTGCAAAAATTTGGTCGTGATAAAAAATGAAAACTTTATATGGACTTAATAATAACTATTACTAAATTAATTCTGTATAATTCTTATAAGTTAAATGTATTACACTTTTTCTTTCTGGTGGTATTTTAAAAATAAATGTCGATAGTGAAAAAATGACACATTTAACATTCATATACCCGATAAAGTTAATATTGATATATTTAGTTGACACAAGAGCATTAATTTTCTTCGCAAACTCAAGTACGTTATTAGGTTAATTCAAATCATTTAGCTTTATTATTGTTATTCGAAAACTGGGGTCGATAGTGTATCTTGAAATGAGGTGAAAATTACAAAAGTGAGGAAATTCACTAGCGTATCTACCATTTCAATTGTCGAAATCTAATAAAATCTGTTCACTTTTGTAATTTTCACCTCGTTTCTCTCAAGATACATAATCGCTGTATATATGTACAGTCGAGCATTGTTATAAACAAGTACTTACTGGGGACTGGAGACTGGGGCTCGATTCTTCATTAACAATGAAGCATGTTTTCTCTAAAAAGCTGTATTGCGAATAACTACATAGTATTATTTCCTAATTTGAATTCATATGAGAAAATTGTACAAAATATTAAAATTTATTTGATAATAAGCGATTACATAAAGAGATGGATTTGGTCTATTAAAATTGTGTTGATGTGCAAATCTTAATAACTTTAGGCTGCTGGCTGCGTTCCAGAACCATAAGAGTGTGGTTTTGTAACGCTGAACGCTGAACGCAGCACGCAGCCTTGAAACGTGATATCAAGCTAATCAAGCGGATCTACCGCGACCACTCGCTAACCTAACCTAACCGGTGTTAATACTGTTAATGGTTAAATATGTGCACGACTGTAAAAATTTTGGACGGCGGCTTTTCCGGGCAGCTGTCGCGACACGTGGGTGCCAAGATCGACGGAGACCCGCTGTGGACGGCGCGATTCCTCGCAACCAATCCCACTGCCGTGTACGCCACGCACTTGGACTTTTTGCGCGCCGGCGCCGACATTATCGAGACTAATACCTACCAAGCGTCTGTGCCTGGCTTGACAAAGTATCTGAACATAAGCGAATGCAAGAGTCTGGATTTGTTTGCCACGGCAGTGCACTTGGCTAAGAAAGCTGTGGACGATTACGCCGAAAAAGAGAAACTCAGTGTCGACGGCAGACCCAAGGTTGCTGGCGCCTGTGGTCCTTATGGCGCTTATTTGCACAATGCGTCTGAATATACCGGCTCCTATGGAAAAACCGTGTCCCGACGAGAACTGATCGACTGGCACAGACCACGCGTTAAGGCGCTCGTGGACGCTGGTGTTGATCTGTTGGCTCTGGAAACTATACCCTGCATCGAGGAAGCGGAAGCCTTACTGGAGTTGATGAAAGAGTACCCACACGCTCGTGCATGGCTTTCATTTTCGTGCCGAGATGATCAGTTCATATCGGACGGCAGTCTATTCCAGGAAGTAGCGCTGCGTTGTTATCGCACTTTGCCGTCGCAAATCGTCGCGGTTGGCGTGAACTGCATCGATCCGAGGCACGTGACTCCCTTACTACGAGGTATCAACACTATCAACGCGAGCGCATCGTCAAGGCAGGCGCATCATCAAATTCCCTTGGTGGTGTATCCCAACAGAGGTGGCAGTTTATCCGCGACCAACGAATGGACCGCGGTCCCAGATGATCATTCCCTGAATCTGCCTATATCGGAATGGTTGGATATCGGGGTTTCTTACATCGGCGGTTGCTGCAAGGTCTTTGCCGAAGACATTAAGACGATACGATCGGAAGTGAATCGATATCGAGCAATGAAAGCACGCCAGCACGGAGTAATCGCCTGAATGCAGGCATAGAGTCTCTTCGTGGTCTCTGCCCCTCATGCCGATGCCAATAATCTCCGAATGCCCATCAAGATGCAGTTTTTATAGATATCGATACATAAACTGGTTAAAAACAAAGATTATAACTTTTTTATTTTATCGCGTACTACTAAAGATGGGTGCATTCATTACAAAATGATTTGCAGAGACAGAGTTTGAAAATTGCAGTTAATGCAACATTTATTGTTGGAGTTATGCGGCGGAAACCTTGATCTCGGTGCACATGTAAATGTTTTAAAAACCAAGCATATATTTTTTTTATAAACAGATATGCCATTTTATTAAATACATTTTAAATTTCTTTAATTTTTAAATTTATTTCCTAAATAAATTATTATACTGACTCAATAATAAAATGTTTAATCGCTAGAGAATCAACGGTGTCGTTTATTATTCCAGAGATTTATCAATATATATCAAGGATTCGCCTACTAGATAGGTTTTACCTGCTACGCTGACTTGGACGCTTTCTGTTTCTGTATCTACGTTAAATACAGAATCCCGTGGAAGTTTGGTTTTTCCTTTTAAAATGTCTCCTGCTACCGGCCTGATTCTGGGTCCCAAATTTGGATCGTTGAACCGATACAAGACGATCGAAGCGGGATCTGAACAAGGAAAATATACAATAAGAAAATCATTAATGCCAACTTGATTGTTGTTTGTGTACGTGAGAACGTCTATAAGAAATACATAAACATCATATAAGAAATTTACATTTCCTCGTTTACCTTTTATATGCTTGTTTTGTTTTGCAATATAGGACACAATATCTGCAGCCGTTACAGTCGAAATTTCCATGGACAGTTCAAGTAAATTGCTACAACTTTGAGGATTAATAATACATATTGAAACTATGGGCTTTGCAAAAAAGTTCATGTACGGTGCACCTGGACAACATTCTTCTCTCGTCTTTTCTGGAGCTTCATCCGTATATTTAATGACAATATCGTGAAGCTGGATAAATAAATAAACATACAGTATAATGCGTTAAAATATATAATATATATAAAACGAAAATTATATACGGTATTTACTTACGCCTAATGTATTTTTGAGATACTCCTTGTTTGTTTCAAGTACATTGAATTCGTTAAAATCAAGGGTCAAATTCAGTGCACTGAGACCAACGGTTTCCATCTTCGCCTTGACAAGCTGCACGAACGGCATTACCCTTTTCATATATTTTTTCAGCTCAGCTTTGCCAGCAAACGCTGCGGAAAGCGCTTTATTATCTGGTAATTTATTCTCATTTTTCTGTAATGTAGATTTATTGTTACACAAAAAAAATTAATCATCGCATACTCGGTTGTCGCTACAACTTACAGAGTACATTTCCCTCATCGTTGTAAGGATGATACTTTGCCAAGGAGGCCAAGTCTTTGCTACCCAGATAATTCCTTGCGTAGGTTTCTCCATGTCGGTGAAATCATTCTTTGCTTTAGACTTTTTTGGCATCATGTAATTTTTTAGAAGAATTCTGAATGTATGAGCAGCATCCATTAGATATTCAGACGATTTTATTAAAATTTCGTTTATTTCTCCTACCACAGGCCATTTTGCATTTAATATACTGCCATCCTAATAAACCACATTAGTTAATTAACATTTTCTATTTATAGAAAGATTTATAGAAAATAATATCCATAAATATTTGCTTCATTGCCAAAACTTACTTTCTTAAGCAAGTCTCCCCATATATATTCGCAAACATGTGGACAAATGGGAGACAGAAGAATTATTTGAATCTCGATATACTTTTTAATTAGATCCAGATTAACCATTGGACTTGTTTGTAAATATTTATCTCTAGCTGTTTGAAATTCGTAAAATCCTGTCCTTAATGCTTCTTTATAGAGCATTTTCGAATAGTTTTCACCAGTCTCTCGTATTTTCAAATTAATTTCGCTACATCAAGTAAATGTATCATTTCAGTTCTGTAATAATGGTTTAAAAAAATAATAATAATAAAAAGGAAAAATTGAAATACCTTTCAAATACTTTATCATGAAAATCTTGCACGCCAGTGTGGCAGGAGTGTTGATTCATATTCAATATATCTTTGACCCATTCTATAAAATTATACAGTCTAAGAATTCCTGCATCGGCTGTACTTTCAATGAAATTAGCATCCTCTATCGAATCACCAGAATCAGCTAAACAGAGACGCATTCCATCAGCTGAGAATTTTTCTACAGCCTCGACAAGTGTTAAAAAGTTGCCCTCTGACTTGGACATCTGTGTGTTGAAACAATAAAAAAATTTCAATTAACAAGACGACAATCACTCGTTACAAGCAAAGCTTAATCAGATTCAAAGGCCAACGTCGAGCATATTTGGGTGTTGGTTATTTTATTCAAGCGAGATTAATTATTATACGTATTAAAATCCGTATGTTTCGACTTTTCAACATCAGTCATCAGTCAGCGGTGACGTATTTGAAACATTCAACTTGAATCAAATTTAAAAGCCAAGTCATGATCAAGTCGTGTATATAAAGAAAATGAACGAGATAAAATAATAAATTGTCAAAATCAATGGCAATATCGGACTCATCGGTCAGCACTGTCAGCAGTATAAAATATTAAGAAATAGCATTTTTTCCCCTGCACATACCAAGTCATAAAATAAAATTGTGCTAATTTTTTAACGGTTGTCGGCGCGAAACTTCGAGTCCCACAAATTCATGATGTCAAGGTGATCAAAGTCCGCGTTAATAAAGGTGTCACAATATTGAAATTAAAATTTGATTTGATACAAATTTTGAATAATTTTATATTACCTTTGCTGAATTCAGAAGCAGATGACCATTTGCCCTTATTCCTCGTGGCCATAGCTCAGGCTGATTTGGCCATATTGCTGTGTGATTGTAGAGAAAATATGTAAGATGATTTTGTATTAGATCTTTTCCTGACACCCTCAAATCTACGGGATACCAATACTGAAATTCGTGCCTCATACGATCTACAAATACTTTGTCTATATTTGTCTTGGGCCATTTAGCGTCTTTAAAGAAGATATAATCCCATACTTCTAATGTCATATCTGAAGCTCTAACGGTTAGTGAAATATTAATAATCACAGATAAACAATACACGTATGTAACATCAACTTTAATCTTGATTACTTTAATCCAAACTCATTAGGTCCGTCTGCTTTAAAAGTTCCTCCTTGTAACAAATGCGCTATTGTATAATAAGCCACGTAAATAGTAGAATCTGACAGAGATTCTATCAACCAACTTTCATCCCATGGTAATTTTGTGCCTAAAAATACGAGAATAAAAAAAAAACGCTTATAAGCATAAATAATTCTATACTTGATATGAAACAACTTGATTACCGAGTCCATATGTTCTGGAGCATGCGTGTTCGTGTAACCAATCGAAGCAAGCAAGGAAATTTTTTCTAACTTCATCGTGAAAGGTATCGAGATTCTTTAAAGCCTCAAGCGTTTCTTTCTTCCAGTTTTCTTCACCATAATCCAAATACCATTGATTACATAAAGCCACTACGCATTCATCATTTGATCTTGAAATAATAGTTTTTTCTGGTTCATAATAAATCACTGCTTCGCCACTGTTAACCATTTCTTTCTGAACCAGTTTCTTAATATCTTGTATCTTTTTGCCTTTATGTGGACCTACTAATAGTACGCCATCGTAAAATCCTTTCAAGTATGCTATCTCCTTTGCTTCTGCGAGTTTAACTTTGTCATTTTGGGACTGAATTTTTAACTGCTCATATAATGTTACTGCTAATAAATTGCCAAATTCTGGAACTTGGATGATTGGAATCTAGTATAATATTAAGTATAATATGTGAAAGATTTCATGATTCTTGCCGATCGCGTTCATCACAGTTAAGTACGTCACATTATATTATACATATACATATGTATATAATCTACTTACTGGATTATATGGCAACACCATCTCGTCGGTAATTCCGTATTTTTCTCTAAGCGGCTGTTTCTTTTTTAGATCCACTAATGCAGCATAATCGTCAGGAGAATCACTAGGGACGGAAGTTACGATGCCAGTACCTTTGTCTTCTTTTATCGTTAACATAGGTAACGTATAAATCACCTTGTTAAATGTGAGGGGAGCTTCCAATTCCAGTCCTAATAAATCCTACAAACATTTTTTTATAAGAGAAAAATTTCGAAAAAATAACCAAAGTTTATTGAACAAATGAATAGTACTTTGCCCATGAACTTTCCAACAACATCTATCTTTCCCTCTTCTTTAAAGAAACCTTGATAGGACATATTCCTCGCCGCACGTTCTGTAGAAATATATACGTCCCCGCATGTTAAATTATACGCTATGTAGCTAATGTCTGGATGAACCCAACAGTTTGTTTGACCATACATTGTCTCCGGTTTTAAAGTTGCAGCTACGAGATAAACTGATCTATCGTCAAAACTCCTACAAAATAGTATATACTGCTTATTTTACGAATTAAAAATCTAACAATAAGTGAGTTTCAATAAAATAATATAATGTAAAAGCATTACATGATTTTCTGAGGACGTAGAACTTTCATTTTGATCAATGTATATTCCTGTGGTCCAACACCTTCACCAGAGGATCTATCATGATCCATACAAGGTTGGCCATCTTTTGGCGAATAAATAGTGTATCTCTTTCCGTACTTGATTTTGTTTCTAGATTTCAAATGATGAAACTGCCAGCGTATAAAAGAATCATAAAATGAGTTTGCATCTGTCGTAATAAACGTTCTTCGCCAATCCACCTAGAATATTTAAAATCAGATATATGAAACTTGAAAAATTATGCAACTATAATTACTATTTTTTTAGCTTACATGAAGACCGATAGATTTTAAGTCTTGCACAGCAAGTGGTGGAAAATATTCCAACCAATATGCAGCGTCGGCAAACTTCTTGATTTCCTCATTTTGTAAGCCAAGGGTTTGCATAATTTGCCACTGATATTTAGCCGAACCAGCTTTGGCAACCGCCTTACTCTGAAATTAACATCAATCAATTTCGATATTAAAAATATTTGTTGTGACATGCAAGTTGGAAATGGAATTTATAGAAATTGATAGAATTTTACCTTTTTCCCCTTGCTCTTGTCCTTTGGGCCTTCCGTCTCTTTTTCCACCATTTCACGTTCTTCAGGAAACTTGGGTGGATAACCATATATTTCCATTTCTCTCGTCAATTTATCAGCACATGCTTTAATAGGCATACCCGTGCAATGAAAGCCAAAGGGAAAAAGCACTTTTTTCCCCAAGAGACGATTGTATCGAGTAGCAAACTGACGTATAAATATACACATTTATTAATATATCCATATGTAAAAGACAAATGAGATCAACAGATATAAAAGAATAATATCAAGAAGATATTAAAATGATGTTATATAAGAATATAAAATTGTAAAAACTTCAGATATATACCTCAGACTTTGATAATGAGAAAGTATGACCGAGATGGAGACGTCCATTCATATAAGGATATGGAAAAGTGGCAAAAAATTTTTCACCTGGTTTCTTATTTAGGGTAGATGCATTCACTTCGTATACCTTCGCAACTTCCCATTTCACTTGCATATTTCTCTCAATTTCCTGAAGGTATTTAACCTTAAAAGTTCCTTTCCTTTCCGTTGCCTATTACACAAGATTACTTTTTTTAGCACGTGATGCAAAGGAATATATATCATTATAATAAATCGAATATATTAAACGGCCAGATAACATAATTATTTCCACTGCATTTATCACAATTGAAAATTATGGATTGTGAAACCCAGTAGGTAGGTTAAGATGCACAAAGGTGCTTTATGCCTATGTATATATATATATATATATGTGTAAAACGCAAGCAAAAGCAGCAAAATTCATTGTCCGATAATCATATGTACTTACCATTTTAATTACGTTTATTGCAAATAGCAATAACTATAAATATTGCGCGATGCAAAATTGCGCGCAAGGCACGTGGAACGTGAAAGTGAAACCGGTGGAGTTCTGCCCCTTCCCTTGTTCCGCCTGCGATCACGACCACATGTATGTATGTATGTATGTATGTATGTAGAATAATGTATGCATGTCGTATGATGACGAAACATGTAGTACAGTATTGCAGTTCATTACACTATTACAGTAAGCTATTACATAAGCATGTTGCTAAAAAGTGAATTGTACATACATACATACAATTCCTGAAGAGAAGTCATTTATCGAACTAATTCACAAAATTTTTTATTTACAAATTTGAAATTAATTAATATAGTGAGGAGATATATAATAACATAAAACTTGATAATTTTCAAGTTTTCTTTTTTCAAGTATATATATAAGCATAATAAATAAAAAGTATAGAAATAACGCCTAAAAGAAAAATCTATATCGTCTTACATTTTATAACCCTTTTTTTATTAACGTAGATTTTAATACTATAAAAATTAATTTTATTTATTCTTTTTTTCATTTCATAATTGAAAGTACACATATGGTATGTTTATTTTTATTCTTTTACATTTGTGCAACAGGTTTTAAACCCAATAAACTAAAGCATTTCTCTAGAACAAGCGCAGTAGCTTCCGCGAGCAAGAGACGCCCTATATTTACTTTTACAATTTCACCAGATTGATTCTTTTCCACGCAGTAGCATTTATCATAAAATTCCATAAACGCGCATGAAATCTCGTAACAAAACTCGCACAACGGATGCAAGTATAGGTCCTCGTTAATGCCAAGAATTATGTCGGGAAATTTTAACAGTACTTTGGCCAGTTTCCATTCTTTTTCGTGCTCCAACGAGATCGGAATTTCGTGCAAGCGCTGTCGCAATTCGTCCTTTGTGATATTCGCCGTTCTGGCGATAGAACGAATTCGAGTTAAAGCATACAATAAATAAACGGCTGTGTTGCCCTTATCTTCCAGCATTTTATCAAATGAAAATACATATTCGTGATTTCTATTGTGTAGTAAATCGGCATATTTTATGCAACCATATGCTACGGATTCTTGGGCTGCTTTTAGTTGGTCTTTGGACAATACCTTGTCGCGTTCTTTCTCTTTTAGTTTCTGCAGTGCCCTTTTCAAGCCTAAACAGCAGATTTTTGGAATTAAATTTTTAGAAATGAAATAAAAGAAATAACAACACCAAAGAACCAACACGTAATCTCGCTTGACGTACCTTCGTCCAACAACTCGCTAAGCTTTACAGTGTCACCGGACCTTGTTTTAAATTTCTTCTTGTCTTCACCCAAGACAACACCGAAGCCAACATGATCCATCCTGTGAAAGCTCTTCAAGATACCTGCTCTTTTGGCACAACTTTCCAACATTTGAAAATGCAAAGACTGACCAGCATCTGTCACATATATCAACTGTAAAATTATGGAGATTTTATTACAAGGTAATAATTTATTGAGATAAAATAGGAATATGACGCTTATATAGTGTGCAACATGATACTTGCCCAATCTGCCCTTTCCTGTTCGACACGATGCTTAATAGCAGCCATGTCGGACGTATCATATGTAAAACCACCGTCAGATTTTACTATAGTTAAAGGTATTCCACTACCATGTTTCTCTCCCCACATTACCTTCCGTCCATTATCTTCTTCGAGCATATTTTTCAATTCTAACTCTGCAACTATCGACTCCATATGCCTCTGATAAAATGATTCGCCTCTTTCTATTAATTTGATATCCAGTCGAGCATACACTTTTTCGAATTCTGTATCAAACATAAGAACAAAATTATTCAAGTACTTTGTTTCTTCCAAAATGAATACATATATAAACACAGCTGTGTTTGCCGCATTTACCTTGCCTAGATACATCACATATCATTTTCCATGCTTTTGTTATATCAGGCTCGAAAGCCTGCAATTTGACGACACACTCGTATGCACGTTTTTTGAATTCCTTATCTTCGTCAAATCTAGTCTTGGATTCTTTATAGAAGGTCTGTATGTATACATAAATATATAAATAATTGGTATATTTATTTAGAAAATGCTCGTCACACGTGTCATTAAATGTCACAGAACATGATTATAGAATATGATTAGTCACCTGAAGATCCTGGATTGGAGGAGCATGGGTTAAATAGTTGGGAAACTTGTCTCGAAGATGCGCTATCAACATACCAAACTGTGTACCCCAGTCGCCTACATGATTGAGCCTCAACACATCATGTCCCAAGTATTCCAACAGTCTTGCGATACTGTCTCCGATTATCGTGGATCTCAAGTGTCCCACGTGCATTTCCTTAGCAATGTTAGGACTAGAAAAATCTACAATTACCCTTTTCTTCTTAACATATGGAGGGAGAACTTGGCCAGCCCATAACCAACTGCGCAAAACGGATTGTCCAAATTCACGTTTTAGATATACATTTATGAATCCTGCACCAGCTATTTCATATTTCTCGACAACAGAAAATACTTTTAGCTTGGACATAATTTCTTTAGCAACGTCACGTGGAGTTTGTTTGGTACCTGTAATAATAATAATAATAATAATAATAAAAAATAAATAAAAGTAATTTAAACATGTATAATGTAATTATTTTATAATTATTTTATAATTTTTCAAGTATTTATAATTCAGTACACTGTTGATAGATACAGGGTGTTAAAAAATTAAACTGACAAACTTTGATGGAAAAAAGAAGACTTAAAAATAAACATTTGTTAGTGCTATTTCTCTCTCCGACGTTTAAGTTTTAATACTACTACACTATATGAAATAGGAGTTTAACTTGGACTATAAACAAACATATACAAGTGGAAAAATCAACGTGTATTTTAATCTTGAACAAAAGATGTAACAAGTATAATATATAAAAGTGAGATTCACTCTTTTTACAATAAATGCTCAAAACGTCCTCCATTAACTTCAATACAAAGACGACATTTACAGACATTGAAAATCTCATACGCTCAAAGAGTGCAAAGATGTTTTAAATCTGCCAAGTTTTCATACATATCCCAAACATGAGAGTTGTGAGAGTCAAGTCTTGGCTAGATTTTTTTTCTTATGAAAACACATCAAAACTCTTATTTATTACGAGACTCCCATTGAAATGAGAGCAGACGTGGGCTGGATAACTGCTGCGGCAGATCAGATTCAAAACAGAGATTCCCCTCTTCGAACGTGTGAGAGACAATCAATGCTTCGACGATATCATCTATGTATTGAAATTAATGGAAGAATTTTTGAGCATTTATTGTAAAAAGAGTGAATCTCACTTTTATATACTTGTTACATCTTTTGTTCAAGATTAAAATACACGTTGATTTTTTCACTTGTATATGTTTGTTTATAGTCCAAGTTAAACTCCTCTATTTCATACCACGTAGTATTAAAACTAAACGTCGGAGAAAAAAATATTTTCAAGTTTTTTTTTCCTTCAAAGTTGGTTGGTTTAATTTTTCAACACGCTGTATATACACACACTCAAGTGCCAAAAAAAAACTGAGACAGTTGCTCCCATTCCCCCAATGCATGTCACCATACTTGTGCATTTAATAGTATCTTGGTATCTTTTACAATAAAAGTACTTGTATAGGTAAATGTCTTTACAATTGTCACATGTTGCTAATCAGATAAAAAGGAGAATCTATGCCGTGCTAGATAGGTTTCCAAATTTTTCTGGCACTAGAGTATATATGGATAGTTTTAACGAATAAAATACTGAAAAAATATTTTTAGGTAACCAACTTTTACCAAAACTACTCAGTTGTTGTGCCAAAGGCATAGCACTGTTACACTGATAATCCCCAAATTTGGGATTAGAGCTAGTAGTCACTATTACTGGTGGATCCACTATGTCGGGATAAGCAGCACCAATAGCTTTATGAAAGACTGCGCAGAGATTATCTTTTATACTTGATGTATCTGCAGTTCCAAATAGCTCCATTCTATCGTCTAGTTTGTTCCTTTGCATTTCCACAGTCTACAAAAAATTATTAGGAAAAATAAACATACGCTAAATGAAAAAAAAAACCTTTTATTAAAAACTCTCTTGCAATAATAACGTTAAGGTTCTACGCTGTTAAAAGTCTATACCCTTTTGAGTATTGTTATCCTGTGCGTCAACTTGGCGTTCTCCTGCTGCAACTTTTCGAACTCCTCCTTAGTTATATCGCTCGGAACGTCAGTCGCGATGCTCCGTTGCAGCGACTCGAGTTGCAGCTTTAAACCGAGTATTTCTCTCTCCTGCAATATTGGATTTGAATGGCATGTGAGTCATATAACCTAACCTCGTAACTATCCGGATTATCGAATCATCACAGATTGACACAGATTTCTAACACAGCGCGGCACAGATATGAAGAATCACGCGCTAAAGAAGTTTACCGCTATAGCCGCACGTTCGTTAAACAAATCCATATCCTTTTTCGACATCATTCCAATGTTTCTTCACCTTTCAAGAGGCCCCGTCGACAACGTGGTCAGTCAGGGTCAGTTCGTCAGTTTGAAAGAGACAACACCATACAGGCATACATCAATGAGATAGAGATAGGCAACTCGTATCTCGTATCATCACCTGAAAAGCATGAAGTATGATTATTTGTTAAAAATGTAACTTTACATGATAGATTTTTACGATATTAATAAAACTCTTTTATATATATATATTGCATACTGTGCGTACAATATTAAAATTTACGTGCGTATTTTCGATTAATCAACGCTTTTATTAAAACCATCCATTTGACCCGCGTAGTGTCACATGGTACTATTGGTACTACGGGAGTACTACGGACCGCGACCGAAGCACGGGATCATGGGACTGATTTCGGGACGATTGGCGTCTGCAGGCGTCACAACTTATTTATTAATTGGTATACATATGTATTGTATAAGAGTAAAGAGTAACCTTTATTAATTTTGCATTATTTACTGCGATATCTATCACGATATATCGTACACGTATAGCTTTATTATCGATTCAGCGCTCGGGTATTAATAATTTGTGAAAAAACGTTTTTCACGAATACTTGTTTGGTCGAAGGCGCGTCGCGCGTCGTGCGGGCAAGTGACAATCGTATTTTCCAATGTCACGAATAATATCGCGGATATCTGTCAAAAATTAATATGAATGCAAAATAACGATCGTAATCATAAGCGAGCGTATAGTATTTGATATTCGTGGAAAATTCGTGATCGCGAAGTTGAGAGCGAGACGCGTAGCAACACTTGGCTTTGGCAGTTGGCGCGACAAGTTTCCCGCGCGGGGGATGACGCGTCTCCGCCATATTGATGACGTTCTTCTTCATTTCCAGATTCCAGATCGCGGCGCGGCGGACGGCGGACGGCGGACGGCGGACGGACGGCGCGGAACGAGTGCGGAGTGGCGTCGCGAGAGTTTTGTTTAATTGGTAAGTGTAACCTTTATTAATCTTGCCTGAATTATTTAACGCAGCACCTATCGCGTTATAGTATCGATTCAGCGCTTGGGTGTAGTTATTTCTCAAAATCAAGTATTTCGCGGTACTTGTTCGGTCGCAGCTAGGCGCGTCGCACGGACACGCGCGGACGATCGTATTTTATTCCATCTATCGCGAATATCGCGGATATTTACTATACAAATATTAATATATGCCTATTCGCTATAAGAAGAATGTAAAGTGGCAATCATACTGAAAGGCGAGCATGCAATATATTTGCTACTCAAAGCACAGAAATTGTATAATCGCGAAGTTAAGAACGAGATGCGTATAAGTAACGCCGCGCCGCGCCGCGGCGAGATTTTCGGTGCGAAAAGTTAATCGCGCGCGGGAGACGAAGCGCCTCCGCCATGTTACGTACGCTCCCCTTCATTTCTAGATCGCGACGGGCACGAGACGGATCGGCTAGGGCTGCGGAACGAGTGGCGTCGTGAGAGTTGTTTAATAGTTTAATTGGTAAGTATAACCTTTATTAATCTATGCATGCATTATTTACTGTAGTATTTATCGAGTAGTATACATTCAGCGCTCGGGTGTAGATATTTCTAAAAAAAAAAAAAACGTATTTTGCGATACTTGTTCGGCCGAAGGTGCGTTAATTGCGCGGACAATCGCGAAAGTGACGCCGCGGCATTTTCGGTGCGAGAAGTTGATCGCGCGAAAGTGCCTTATTCGTCTTATTACATATGTTAATTACGCTCCCTTTTCATTTCCAGATCGCGACGGGCACGGAGACGGATCGGCTAGGGCTGCGGAACGAGTGGTAAGAAGGAGTTGGAAAATATTGCACTGAGAAAAACAATATTCATCTAGATTGCTATTTATTTAAAAAATATATATATATATATATATACATATATATATTAATTTAAAATTAAATTTCTTTGTTAACAGGAAACGTAATATAAACAATGATAATTATTTTTAAAAACGTTCTCTGTTCTGCAATAATTTATATATGATCTCACATTTCATTATTTTGTTTTATTTGTTATAAAATCAGTTGTTCACGTATTAGATGGATAAGCTATAGAGCATTATGTATAAAAAAATTGGCGCTGTATAAAAATTTAATATAATATTGTTATACAATACAGTATGGAGCATTCCATGCCAAATTGACCTGGGTTTTACCCTCGACCTCTCGCGGATTTGGTCGGCGATTTTTTATGTTTATGTTACAACTCTAAAATGCACTCGGATTTTTTTAATATTTTTTTTTATAAAATTGATTTATTTATATTTTACATATATAAATATGTTGCACTAATTCTTTTTGTAAAAAAGAAATCTGTAGAAAAGCTTCGTATTTTTAAAATGTCAACATTTTATTTTCAATATAACATTCTTTCTTATTCTTTTTTCATTTATTTCAGCAACTTTAATGTAACCAAGAATCAATTATTTCCATAATTCTTTTTTTATATCTAATTTTTATCTGTGATTATTTATCTTTATTAATTGTAAGATATAACTCTAGATATAAGTATTTTTTTTCTATTGTCTGAGATCTATTATCTAGGAAAGAAAAACTTTACTCTTTGACATACTTTTAAAGTTAAAAGATTCAATATTTTTATTAATTATTTTGAGCTCCGTTTTAATTTGTGAACCTTATATTTGTACGTTAATTACAAATAACCTAATTAAACCTTATATTTGTATGTTACAGAACCATCACAGCTGATAATATGTAGCTGACATTTCCACACTCCATGAGGGAGCTGACAACTCGAGAGGACAGCCTGAGAGGAGGAGGAGACCTGCCAGGAAGAGGCATCGGGCGCCAGCGGAACAACTTTGCGGTAAATATTTTTTTTATTTTGTACAAGAGTAAATTTTTTTGTTTGTTTTTAAGCCTTTTTATTTTACCATGATTTAGAAATAATAGTTAGAAAAAAAGGAGTGATTTAATTTTATAATAAATCAATTTTATAAAAATTGATTCTTGTAAATATTTAAATAAATATTTAATTTTAAATAATGAATAAAAAGTTTGATGCCATAGGAATTATGTTTTAAAACATTGAGTTTTTTAAACACACTATTTTAATATGAATTTTATATTTGTATGTTACAGAATCAACGTAGCTACGTGGCAGATATAATTCCGCTGTTGCGCATCGGTGTCGGTGAGTGATTTTATTTATTGAGGTAATGAATGATGGGAATATACGCTCTTTGCGCGCGTCATGTAACGAAAATTTCTGAATTAAATTAAAAAAACTCCATTATATATGTATAATAACTCGCTTTAGACGATCCATAACTTTTAAAGTCTAAGTCTAAACTTTTAAAGTAAACTTCAAGATAGAGTAGACAATATCCAAAAATCTATCGTGTAAACACTACAAACGAACAAAAGTTCTGGAAGAGATATGTAAATGTATTATTTTAATGTATACGATAATTCTCTATTCTACATGTAAAATGGAATACTTGATGTAGATTACATGTTATTGCAGACACGTGAGACTTTATTAGAAACAATTTAATTTTGCAAAAAAGAGCATTATTTGAAATATATATATATATATATATATATATATATATATATATACTGTGCTAAAAAAAAATTAGGGGATCACTTTTTGTCAGTAAATTTTTTCCCATTTTTAAACTGTAAATACTCAGCGAATAATTAATGTAAAAAAAGTTTAAAGAAAGGTTTTAGAGGGAAAACTCTCTACTATAAGGTACTTTTGTGCAATTTTTATTCAGGTTAATACTCAAAGGCGTGGTCAGCTTTGAATAAAGACATATTTGAGATATCCAAAATCTTGAAATTTGCAGTCTTCCACTGCCTAACAAAAAAATTGGCTAACATAATCATTATACCATCCCGGCAGCATCGTGCTAAAATCGTAAAAAGCAGGGGTTACTTTAAATTGCGATATCTCGCTAAATAATCGGCGTAGGACAAAGTTTCTTTTTTCATTTAAAAGGGCAAAGTCCGTACTTTGAAATGGTATTAATGATTATGTTTGCCAATTGTTTTGTTAGGCGGTGGAAGACTACAAATTTCAAGATTTTGGATATCTCAAATATATTCTTATTCAAAACTGACCGCATGCCTTTGAGTATGAACCTGAGTGAAAATTGAACAAAAGCATCTTATAGTAGAGTTTTTCTGTAAAACCTTTTTTAAAACTTTTTCTTACGTTAATTATTCGCTGAGTAGTTACAGTTTAAAAATGGGCAAAAATTTACTGACAAAAAGTGATTTCCTAATTTTTTTTAGCACAGTATATATAGGAGAGTAATAGTAAACGGCAAAAATGTAATAAAAACGCAGCCTCTTTTTTTATATCAATCATTTATTTTCTCCATACAAATTATAAACATGTTTTTCAAATACTGTACATATACTGAGTTCTATTATATTTTTAAACTTCTAATTTAATGATATATCATTTTATTTATTTATTTATTTTTCATTTACTCGTTAAAACAACTACTTTGATCCTCATTTCGTTTCATTTATGATAATAATATACAGGTAGATCCTTTTGTTTCTTTTTTTTCTCTCCGATCAATATTTTTTTTTACAATCATCAAGCTCAATTCTTTGATATGGCAGTTCCAGGATATGAATAAATAGAATTTTAAAGGGATGTAAATTTCTGAGAGTTTGCCGAATTAGCAGACCGATTGCATGTTGCGGTCAATACTTTCATAGAGATAAGATTCGATTTAATTGGATTGGAGATGAATATACGTTTTAAAGCATAAATAAGAATATTCTGCTTTATAAATAAGCAAAGAGTAAGTAAAATATATTGTATAATTCATGAGTAATCATATCGTTTTTTAATTTTTGTCAGTAAATATTTGGTTTATAGACGTATAGCTGTTTAGCAATATATGTATACGTACTAACTTAGATGAATAAAAATGTGGTAAATTAATAAACATTAGACGTCTATTGTTGTATCAAAGTACTGCATCCATAAGAAACTAATAGGTCTCTATGAAAATATTAAGAATTTTTTGCATACATTAATTTCGAAACGTGGAACTGGATTCATAACGAGCCGCAAGCAAAACAGTTTCTCTCTTCTTACTACTAGTAAGAAGAGAATACTACATACAAAAATGTAGCTGTTGGAACTTGAACAATTTCTCATGGTCTTCATGTAAATATATACAAAGATATTTAACAAATCTGAGTCAATCGATCGATATCGTATGTTATTGTGTACAGTGCACGAGTTCTCTTAATTTTTCTCTTTTCCTTAGTCTACTTCTGCATTTTGTATCTTATCGGGCTTCGATTTTCGATATCATCATTATAGAGTGAGAGAGTACTATTTTCCATCTTCACAGAAGACATAGATAAATATATATTTTTATAATCTTTCCTTATAAATGTAATTCGCTTACTTTAAAATCATTACGCGTAAATGTCAATAGTATTAGTGTCGGTGCTGCTTTTTCTCAATTTCATAGTCGTTCCACCTATTTTCAAATTTTCACACAAAATAAAAATCTACATGACCAAACCGAATTTCTGTGAGTATTCTTCAAAGATATTGCATAATTTTAAAAACAATAATTCATTACTAAGCAATTCGATATGTAACCACGAGACGTTGTCTTGTTCATTATAAATATGTATTAATAATTGTATGCGTATAATGAGAACATTACCTGTTATATTTATTGAAATTACTGCAAATGCAAAGTAGAAAATATTGTTTTCGACAGTTATTAACGATAGTTATAAATCAAAGTATTACAAAAAAAAAACTCATTCGTATATAGCATGGCCGTGGTTACAATTCCAGTTTGATGTGCAAATTATTTTGCTAAATCACAATTTATATACTGATAAAAGATATAAGTAATAAAAAAAAACGATATGATACGATGAATTACTAGCTAGTATCCATTTGAAAGAAATACTATTGCAAAAAAATTACTTTCGAAAGTCGTACTTACAAATGGACATATTACTGAAAAGTATTATATAGAGAGTCACTCTCTTATTATGTGTATTTTTCTTTATGTTTTTAACCCTTTTACTTATGAGAGTTACTTTCAAATAGACACTAAGCTTATATGAAAAAAAGAAAAAACGGTAACAATGAGTAAAACATATAAAAGCTGCCAGTTAAAAAACCACATTCACATATCGATTAAACATAAATTCCTTTCTACTCCAGTCAACCCATATAGTAAATTCACTTCTCACCCCCAATAAAAAGCGACATATTTCTGACTAAAAGAGATCAAAATACATTGCCACTTGTTTCGTAAAAGTTAATTAAAGTAAGAATACGGTAAATAATATTATCTTATTAAAATATACACGATCTTTTCTTGCTTACATTAATATTTACTGCTCGATAGGCAAGTCCTATTCCGGAAACACACAACAGATTGAATTAAAAAATAAGTAAAAACTTCCTGTGCAATTATTACACAATATATATATATATATATATATATATATATATATATATATATATAGGAGAGATGCGATGAAATGAAGTCAACTGCAAGATATGGTCCTCTACTCGTTTAAACAATTGCCACTAAGTTGATAAAAAATCTCTGTATGTAAGTTCTCTATGGTCCATGTATGTGTAAGATGTAAATTATATTATTAAGTACGAAACATTTTTTTGCAAAGGGCTATTGAATCCCCTTATATCAGTGCTTTGAAAAATATCTTTAACTTACAGAGATTTGGAGAGTGATATTGAAATCAGACGATCGAATAATGTATCGTAACTTGAATATCGACGCTTTATATGTCACTATGAAATCGTCTTTCCCAAGACTGATTTCAATATACTCCTGATAAAAAATGCCAAGATCGGGTTTCGGAGTAATCAAAGTCCCTATCACATAGTTATAACTTATGACAATGACCTTTTATCTATATAATCGATATATATCGACCTGGTATATCGCTTTGTAAATGTAGAAAGATAAAAACAAACAAAGTACGCTAAGTAAGAAAAATCATTCATCAGTAAGAACTATAGAAAATGATCTTAGAATACAAAGTAAGGCGATTATAAGAAATACAAACACATCCCTTTAACCTAAGTGTCGCTGTCTAATCAGAGTGGGTTTGCGCACATTAGCAAGTGCGCTTTGAACAATTAAATTTAAAAAATATTATATATAAGAATAATCATTCTTCTATTGAACGTTAATAATTACTGTAGCGTAGATTCTCAGAGTGATAAGAATTTTTGCACGATACAAAAAGCAGTTTATATGACAAAGCTTAAAGAAACGCATGTTGATGTACGATATTTTAATACAACTTTTTCCTTTGCTTCTGACTTAATTCTGATAAACAATATATCATTGCATTTCATGTTACATAAAAAAAAATCATAATGGCATACCTCTCGGTCAAATCTCCATTTCTTTTAAAACTTAGAAATCACTTAGATAACTTTATACACGATCATTTATAACAATGTAAATTGTAATCATTGCATTAATATTTAACATATATATTCTTATATGTAATATATGTATATATCTGTGTGTGGATGTTTTCTGTCTCGAGTCTCTATAATATATCGTCTAATTTAATAATAAAACTATAATACTAAATCAAATGTTGGGGGTACCATGCCTTTCCGAGATCAGAGTCTGTTTCTTCGTTTTCTCTTTTTTTTTTGTTTTTGTTGCATGCTTCTACCACTTTATGCAATTTTATACCAAAATTTATTGTCAATTTTAAATTAATTCATTATAATATATCCTCTTTATTAAAATCGATCCTCTTTATTAAGATTAATCGACGAGTTTATTGGGACGCCGATTATACGGGACGATGATTATAATCATAAAATATATATATGAGAAATTGTTTAATTTCTATTTTACTATAAAATTTACAACTGTGTGATATCTTGAAGACATTGTTCGACACAAATGCAAGAATTTCTTTTTACACCGTGTCACATACTTATATATTGACCCAATAAGCTACTAAAAGTATAAACTTTGAATCAAACTCAAGCTCGGGCTGGCCAGTACTTTATCATATATGTGTACATATGTGTGTAGAGTCCTTGTTAAGGAGTTTCACGGAAAACGTTCGCAATACATTCCGTTTATTTTATTTTACATTACAAAACATTCGAGTTAAAACACACGAAGATACAAATTAGATTTTTCGGGGTATTTATAATATTTTTATTATACAATACTTAGAATTTCTCATCTTTAATTTAATCCCTTAGCATGCACAGCCGGTTCGTAATCAGTTGAAATATCGCGATTCTTTTATTCTCTGATATCTCTCTACAACTAATTCTTCAAAATATTATAGAAAAACGAATTTTTTTATCAAATTCAAATTTATGAAGTTAGCATGTTGCATAACAAAAGATTTGTATACAAAAAAATTTAAATACAAAAAAAAAGAAAGAAGGAACGTATGCAATGCAATATTTTAATTCATCCGGATTGTATGTGTGGACGATGTTTTATTACAACACCTATTATTCACCCGATACTTTTATATCTGTTTATAGAATAATTTTCATAATATTATCGACCGAATATTTTCCATCGAAACTCACCTATGGACGCGAAAATATTTCTGTACAAGTGTAAGCATGTTTACACTCACATATTCACGCAACATATCGCAATCAAATTCCTCTATTCTAAACTTTCTTTTATTCTAAATCAGCTGGTTTTCTCTAAACTGAAATTCTTTTTTTTTTCTTTTTTTTTATACTGCTGCTTGTTGCTTTTCCCATTATTCATATTTGTTATGATGTCATATATATATATATATTCAATAGATAACAAAAATATACAATAAGAAATGAATAAAAAGAGCGCAAAATAACATTTCCAATATGTTTGTATTCTTTAGAATAAAAATGGGAACTAAAGGGAAGATTAGAGGAAATGCTTGACCCCAATACCTTAAGAATAGAGGAACTTGGCTATATGTGTATATTGTATTTTCACAATGTAATCGTGTGTGTGTCTATACGTGTATGGGTGATCTTTATGTGATGGTAGGCACTGATGGGGGTGGATGGCTGCATGGCGAGCAGGTTCAAGCAGGCTAGTCTTGGACCAATCTGTATATGTGATGCTGAGCACCGTGTTCAGATGTCGATACTTCGAACACATATGCCGTACACAATAATGTTTCCTGCGTATCCCTGTTCGTGACAACCTGTGAAAAGGAAAAAGACACGAATCAAAAACATACTTTTCTACAACAATATGTTTACCAGCACAGACTATTTATAATTTTTTATAATTTTTTGTTTAAACACACAAAGAAATACGATTACAATAGCACCAATAGGATCACGTCCAGTAGACGTGTAATGTAATCGTAAAACCGGACGGACAAGTTTAAACGTAATAGATGGGCCCAAAATATAATTTAAAAAAATAAATTAAACAACTTTTAGTTGACTTGGCATTTCAAATGACTTGAATCATCTATTCGAGAATTAACATAAACAAGTACATGTAACATATATTACATATATGAGAATTGATATACATGACATAATATCGTCAACGCACCTGGAGAATAGTGAAATTTTCGAGAACGCTGTTCATCATGTACTTCTCTGGCAGGTGCTTCAGTTTGTGGATGAAATTAATCATATATTCGCACATAGGTGAACGGCTAATACGGTAAACGAACCTGCCATTCTCAAACCTGGCATATTCCGTCTCCACCTTCTCTACTACCTGCTTTCCGAAGGAGCATACTTTCGTCGAACACGTTATCGTCATGTTCTCGTTGCTCTCGTACCTATATCACAGTGCAAAATACACGTATAAATTTAATGTTGAACTAAAGTCGAGTACGCGAGAAGCAGACGTTACTCACTGGCTCGTGACGCCGTAGAATACTCCACTTTCATCTTGGATGTTGCTATTGAGATCAGCCCAAAACTTAACGAGGAAGAAAGCCGCTTGCGGTCCTTTATCGTAAAGTTCTTTCAGACCGCCCTTCTTTTCCGGGAATTTGTCGTATATCTGTTTAACGTCGACCGCTTCCAACAGCGGATCGGCGTAGGTCGCGGAACCTCCTATATGGACGAACAGGTGTTTGTGGTACTGAAAGAAAAAGAACGTCACGTGCGTAAACGAGACCGTCCTGAATCGACAATCGTATACATGTACGACATCGTTAACTCTATCCGAGAAACTAACCATCTATGACAGATGATCTATTCGACACTTTTTGCACACAAATATACACGCATGATATTAGACTTTATGTTTTAGCGCTGGAATTTTTTACATCAAATTTTTTGTCCAAATGATGAAATGATTTACTCGCTGGTGTGATGTGAAGAGTAATGTACATATAGAGACACAAATAGACAAATACAACAACTTTAATATTAGATTTTACTGATAATTACATGTTTTGGCGCTGGTTTCTGATATCAAATCTTTTGTATAAATGATGAAACAATTTAGATATACTTAATCGTTTTCGAGACGTAATATCTCACAGAGAATTAATTCTCACAGCATTTTTTCATCAGACACGTCAATAAAATATGAGCATGCCGCATTTTATCTTTAAAACAAAATTTCTCAAAGATTATACGATGCTTTTGCAGCAGTTTTACGTATATAAAGGCCTACACATGAATTATTTCAAAATCAAAGGAGGCGGTTTACGTCGAGTCCCAACTGGCCACTTATTAATATTCTAATATTGAAATACACAATGTTTCGACCATGGTTTGTGGTCCTTATCAAGTGTAAACTACACTGTTGGAAAATTTGAGATAAATACAACATAAATCACATGTCCCAAACGGTCCACTCAAATTTTTGTGTAAATTTAACATAATATGGATTTGTTAATAAATGGTAACACCGATACTATGTTAAAATACTTCAACAGAAAGGAAATGTAATTCTGATCGTAATTTGATGTTAATTATGTGTACAATTAACAAAACTTTTATGTTGAAGTTAAGATTGCGAGATAAAATCAATTAACACTCTTTTTCTGTAAATTTTTATTCCCACTTCTGTTATAGAGTAAAATCAACATTCTTTTTCTGTAAATTTCAAAACATTTAATAAATACGTTCAAATTGTGTTACTTTAACATATTTTTTAAATTATTTTAATAATTTTACATTTTTAATTTGTTCAGTTCAATTGACATAGCAGACATATGTTAAATCTACACATGTATGTGTTGATTATTTTATACAAAAATTTTAACAAAGACCTTTAACAAAAAAACTACAAAAATTTTCCAACAGTGTAACTTATAAATTTATAATATGACTGTTCTACGAAACATCTTAATTAGAAAAACTAATAATAGAACGAAAATAATTCAAATTACGGATTTACATATTGCGTATGTCATCGAAGGTAAAAAAAAGCTTCTTGCAACGGTAACATTGTCTCAAAGAATCTATAGCGCATTCGCGATTCGTTTCGATGAATGTACATACATAGAGCACAGAGAGAAACGGTCAAGCCCAACTGACAGTCAATGGCAAACTGCATAGATATTATATTACTAAATCAGCCGGTTGGGTCGAATTAAACCGTCTCCTTTGTTAATTATTACTGGCGAAGAAAAAAAATTACCTCTGGTTTGTCTCGAAATCTTCGCAGCTTAATAAATCTTACGATGCTATACTTACAATCTCCTGTTCTCTTTGCTGCTCCATGTAGGCCGAAAACTCGACAAGCCTGAGCTTGTGGGTCGCGATGGCGCGTCCTTCCCATGGTGGTGCAGGCTGCGCTTGGACCAAATCACCGCTCGAGACCGCTGTCGCCGGTTTTCCGGTGTAGGCAGGCTGAGGGAAGGGTTTGACATCCTGGGACGTTCCTGGTTGTAGACCTGGCTGCCAAAATTGCTGAAAACATATCGCGAATTTAAATATACGCAAAAACTGACGATTATGGATTAGCCAATTTCCACGCGCCTGACGTTTATTAATACGTTTATTATCAAGTTTATTAAAATAAGCTATCAAGTTTATTGCTATTTAATAAATAAATAAATAAATAAATAAATAAATAATTGATTGCTTTAGTTATCAATTATAATAGAGCCAGATTTGTACAACAATACGATTGTCCTGTAATCGCATAACTCTTAACTATTAAAAAAAAATAATAAATTGACGGTTGATAGTTGAGCAAAGAAATCAACGAATCCGTTTCTCTTAAACTATGGAAAAAATTTAAACTTGCATTTTTGAAATCTTTTCAAACAATTCGTTGCATTACGTAAGTCCTTATACTGTAACTGTTTCGATAAAAAAAAGTTTACAAAATTTTCCATAAAAAGCCATCGAGCCGTCGGGCGAGAAACGAACGATAGGAAACGAAATGAATGAACACAAATAAAAGAGAACAACAACAGCAATAACAACAAAAGGCTAATGATCGCGTTTTATGTTATGTAAAAAGAAAGAAAGAGAGATAGATGGTAAGCCACAACGAACTTCGTTTTCCATTATGCAGATACGTCCAATGTAACGCATACATACGTAATCTGTATGTATACATGTCGTATGTATAGGTATGTGATGCCCAGGTGATACGTATGTACAAGATTAGAGCAATGGACAAATTCAACAATACACAACAAGGGCCCCCAGGGGCAGCGTAGCAGCAGAGAGCCAGGGAGGATGTCACTTTTGCAAGGGGTGGTTAGTTATCGACGCAAAAGCTTTCGCGTCAAAAAGAGAATTAAGAAAGTACGCGATTGATCATATGTACGAAAACAAATTTCTCCCTCTATTTTCCTCGTTCTTCTTTCATAACCAAATGTAAAAAAGAGCGCAAAGGAACAAAACATGACAGCGAAAAAGCGGAAAGCTTATATAATTAAAGAAATAAAGAGAACACTATTCACCGTCTCTAATCAGTTAATATTATTTTTTCCTCTTTTCTTCTTTGCACAAGACACAGGATGGAAGCAACACCGTTATATATAAGTCGGGCTAAAGATACGAAAGCAAACTTTTTGAATTTTAAACAAGTAACTGTCATTGTTCGCAAATGTATCGCTTTGTTTAAAAGTTTAAACATCACAAATATATTTCCGACTTATTTAACAGTGCTCACAAAAATTTAAATTATATAATGCACTTGTTATATTATGTGCGGAAGCTAATGCTGAATACCCTTACCGAGATCAAACAGCTTATTTAATTGTGAATCCAGGTTGTTTCTATATTATATACATATAATAAATAATAAGTGCAACGTTGTTAAATTAGTGCCACTCGTTGCAATCTCTCTGGAGTGACATTTTAATTACACAGTATTATCTCAAAGTCTCGTGAGGCACAAAAAAATTTACAGGTCAGTCGACAAACCACACGGCATGGGCACTTGCCTTCGACAGGCGGATTAGCGGTTATCGAGCGAAGCGGTTAGGAACAGTCACGAACTTGAAAAGAAGAGGCCAAATTGGCAATATTACTAATAATAAAAGTAAAATTCCTATCCACAAAGACGACGAGACATTTTATGTCCTTTCTACGAAGCTTTCAATCTGTCGAGATATATCATATATATATATATTAGAGCGTGTCATTTTGGGGCAACTTTTTTTTTCATTTCACGAATAGCATATATACTTCCAGGAAGGTAAAATAAAAATTTTTAGCCCTTAATATTAATATTAACAGGTCGCTCTGCGCGATTTTTTATTTTTTATTTAGTAAGATATGGGGGGGAATTCACAACCCAAAATTTTGTACACCAATGCCGATTTTTGGCATTGCTGTAAAACACTGCCGACATTTTC